CAAAAGATTTTTTCTCGAAACTCGGTTTTATGCAAATGCCCGTTGCAGGGGTGACCACTTTTGCTTAAAGCCTCAGGTTAAGCAGCTTACTCATACAAAAGAATGAAGGCTAAGGCAGTAATCCTTGGCACTTCGAAGAACAAGATGGCATTTTTTTCCCCTCTTGTTTTATAATGCAGTTATAAGCCTATTAAAGCGTTTTCCGCGTACGTCTCGTTTGACCCGTTTGAACGAGGACCTGGATCCAACTTCGCTGCCTTTGATGAGAGTGCCTTCAGGGAGTTAAGTAAATCTAATTAGTCACATTTCGTCAGGTATTCTACGTAGGAGGAAATTAGCGAAGGTGAGCTAAGAGAGAAAATGCATCCTCCAGGTCAGCCTTTCGATGACCCGATACAAATAGTGGGATGGCCTTGTTGCATTACCAGGGAAACTGCTAGGATGACTCATTTGTTGAGACGGTGGAACTGTTACAGAGTTAAAATAGATTTGATCAGTCTGAGATGAATCCCTGTGCACATAGGCGTCAGTAAAGAACCATTCAGTACCACAGTCTCTCCTCTTCCAGCCTCATCTGCCTGCTATCAACAGCAGGCAAAGGAAACCATTTCACTTCAGCAATCCTGGGCAAATGTGAAGCATTATTTTTATTTTCCGCAGGCCAAGAGAGAAAAGGTGAGTCAATGCCAAACGAAAGCCGCTGCCACTTTTTATTTTGTGCGCAGAAAGAGAATGCCATTGATTTTGTAGCTCGCTTTTCTCTACACGCTCACGCCAAACATCTATTTTCTCACATGGTAAGAGTAAAAAAAAATTTTAAAATCACAGCTGTTGACATCTTGGCATAAGGAAGACACCTGCTTATTTAGCAGACCTGCGAAGCCAAAGTGAAACTTTAAAAGGAAAAGACAGGAAAAAATAAAGTGGAAACTCATTTCTGTTTGTCAGCAAAGGTTACAAAACTCTTGGAGAAAAGGACGTACCTGTTTAGCTTTTGGACTGCATCTTTCTTCATAAATAAAATCTTTATTTTGATATAAAAAAAATAGCATGGAGGTTTTGACAAGAAGCAAAAACCAAAACAAATATGAAAGAGGCTAAATAACTTTTAAAAGTACTTCACATCTCTAGAAATGCTTTAATGTAAGTTTTGTTATTTATTTTATTGAGATTTCATATGTTGAACCAACACAGTTTTGCTCATAAATGAAACAGAAGCAAATTTGTACATAGTTTTCAGGCTTGTCCTCTGGTATGAAATCTTAAATGTAATACCCCTAAATAAAATCCGGTTCAACCAATTTCCTTCATGACTCAGTTAATCAGTAAGCGGAGTGAACCTGTGGGTAAGTGGATCTCGGTATGAGGCGTTTGTGGCATTGAAGAGCAGCTTGAAGCAAGGTTAGGTAATGAAACCACATGGTTCTTACAGCTCTTTGTTCAGCTCACCGTGCAGAAACGGAAAGAGAACAACCTCAAACCTACCAAGACATGATCGTTCATGTAAACTGACAAACCAGAGCTGTAATCGTTTGGGAGCCTGGAGGCCCCGGGGTCATTTTGCATAAGCTTCGGCGATCCACAGTGCAGGTCAGAGAGGTGGAGTCATAACCGCGTTGCAGCAACTGCATTTCATCATGCATCTCAGAGTGGCGAGAAGATAATAAGCCATGTTTGAGGTTTGCCACAAGACCAGCATGAAACTTCTCTTGACTTGCATGCAAAATGCAAAGTGTGTAAAAACCAAGTCAGCATATTCAGTTTTACATAGAAAAGTAGCGGCGACATGTTGCGGGGATACTTTTCTCCAGTTGGGAGAAAGGAAGTTTCAACGCCCTCCCTTTGCAGCATTATTTGATTTTTAAAAAATTGAGTTTGAGAATTGATTTGTGTTTATCTATCAAATCGATTCCTTAACATATTGAGGTTTATGGTGGGAACATACCAAACTGTCAAAAAGAAAAAGTTCAAGAACTGTGAATAGTTTTGTGGGGAACAAAAGGTGAAAATAAGTACTTATGTACTTATAGCTTAACCTTTGCGTTGTTTCATCTGTATTTGCAGACAGCAGCTTGACACAGCTGGTTAGTAAAATAGGAAGAAAGCTATTATTTTTGTTCAACATGTTCTAGTAAAAGAGACACAATAGATGTCTCTGCGGTGTCCTGTCTGGACATGTGAAGCCCTGCAGGTGTGAGAGTTTAAACGTCTAAACGGAAAATGCAGACATGAAAAGAAATGGCTGAATCCTTGTTGTTGTTTTTTGCGCGCCGGCTTTTCCCGAGGGTGTGTGTTGTGGCTTCAGACAGACAGACAGACAAACGGGAAGGGCGAATGGACGGATAAGTGGAAGGCTAACCGCACCGAAGCATTACCCTCTCCTTACTGATGAAACCATTATAATCAGCTCTCTACTGTATGGAGAAACTAACCAGCTCTGACAGATACTTACAACTTTATTTGCTTTTTTTTTTTTTTTTACCTTTTCCTTTTTCTCAACTTAGGATTTCTGATTTTATTTCTTGTTGTTGTTTTGGCTATGTGTCACTGCCACGCTAAAAATAAAATTTTCTCTTAAAGACACAAGAAAATCTCTGAAATCATCAGGTTTTCCCTGGGCTCGTAAAACGGGACAGACGCGCCCCCTAGTGGCCGACAGCGTGTAACACAAACCGGCTTCACCCAGTAAATATTTGACGTAATGGAGCTTCATATCACCACAAGAAGATTTAAGAAAAGAAAACTGCCAAAAATATTTGGCTTCTGCTTTGAGATGCAAGCAACAATCTGTTTATGGAGAAGAAGCAGAGCCTGCCTTCAATTTGACAGGGACATCTTCCACAATCTGTCGTTTGAGAAGTTGCACAAGGCGTTTCATCAGAATGGAAAATGAAAACCGTAAATCCGTCAAAATTTCTTGGCTGATTTCTCTCTTGCATTGGCGGGACGTTTATAAGAAGGGAACGAGTTGGGGACAATGAGGTCGATGAACCTTTTATAATGTACCTAGTTGGATTGAAGCACCAAAGATGGTACTGATGCAAACTCAATTTTAAATAAACTGCAAACACTCTTACACTTAAAAAGCTCCTTCCAACTACACTGAGCGGATGTTGATCTTTCAAAGCAATAGTTTTGAATTTCCTGAGGACATTACTGGTGCTTGACTTTATTTTTATATATTTTTTGTCCTAAAACTAAACGTTGTCCATGTTTACAAACTGGGAAAAACTGTGAATTGAGTTTGTTTCTTTGAGTTTGCACTCTTGGAAGTAGATCAGATCAATCCCATGAACGATTGCCGAGCCCTGACCAGATGTGGATCTGGACGACTTGCCGACCTCAGAAAGAAAATCCAAATGCGAGAACAACAACCCCCCCAAAAAAATGAAGACGTGGCTACAGGAATAACATCAGTTCAGCTGAAGACGCGACCAACACCAAACACTTGGGACGATTATGTCCTGGATGACAGACGATACATACAAACGCATTGGTGAAAGGTTGACATTTTCTGGTGTAAAAATACAACATTTGGTTATGACAGTCTATAATTAGTCAGGAACCTCACTCAGCATTTCATAAAAGCATTGCGACTGATCATTGTTTATGTTCCTACGTTTGGCTTATGTTCCTGACAATATATTTTCTCAAACTCACCCAGCTTCCATCGGTCTGTTCAGCCATTTTCAAATCCCGGGTATGACAGTCGTGCTCAGTGATTAAAAATGTTTCGATTCTTATCAGATTAAAAGGACCTTTTGAAAATAATAACCTTCAAGCAGATTTTTGTCTACTTAAGAGTAGGACTTTTTTAATGGTCTGATGTGATATCGTAATTTTAAACGTCATGTTTTCATTCGCTGTTAGAGGAAAATTGTCACAATTAACAGAAATAAAGGATAGCAAACATCCGTGTGTGTAATTAATCTACATAACATGTTCAATTGGTGAGAAAGTTCCTGAAATAAATGAGCTTTTCAACAATACTCAAATTTCTCGAACGTCTTGCATAAAGTATCAAACAAAAACTTAACGCGTCGTCACCAGTTTTCTAAAAAAATATATCTTTTAAAGGCTGAAACTGACGTGATATTCTCTCATTGAGTCCAGGGCATGCAAGGAAACTAAACCCTAGTTTCATGGTGAGAGAGCAAAATATATATATATATTTTTTTCCTTTCAAGAGATCAAAAAGTGATCTGGTCTGAATTTAAATCTAGTCCCATAAAGGACTGGCAAACTGATCAGTTACGTGTATGCTGCTACTTTTAGTATGTTTTGATATTGTTATTATTATTATTATTATTTTATTTTTGCAACGTGCTTAATAACGCATATAAAAAATAAAAAAACCTCATATACCCCAAAATAACCAGGAGAGGGCGACAAAACGCAACTAAACTGGAAGAAGAACACTACCTGCTCTTGCAATGTTTTGGGTCGAGTTTCACTTTATACTGCAGTAAACAGAAGATATAATGAAAGAACGATTCATAAACACTCAAAACAAATATGGGCTGACATGGAGGATATTAGAGAATGATAGGCTGTGTTATCATTTGGGCGGATCGCTGTCAGAATGGAAGCCCATGTGTATCTCCACAACAATAAAGAAAAAAAGTGATTTTGTTTTGTTTTTCCAGTGAACAACTTTTAAGAGTAGTTTCATTTTCAAAATCATGTCAGATCAGCAAACCGTCTTTTGGACGGTTCCATACAATCTGCGAAGCTACGTCACACACGGTGTTTTACTCTCCGCGCTTCCTTTGAATCGACGATCAAGACCTCGAGCTTCGCTGAACCTGCGTTACATAAAGCACCTGATGTTCTCGGAAATCCACTTCGATACGTAGGAGGGGCAGAAACCGGACTCACCTCAGTCAAGTCTCTGTTGTTCTCAGCTCCCACCTTTTCCAGCCCTCCTCCTGTCACGCTGCTCCTCCCGCCCCTCCCTCCTGGATCAGAAAGCCCTCCTGCGCTCAGTGGCGCACAGACGCGTTTCGAGAGGCGCGCTCAGGAGTCTCGGATCGGGCAGATAAACTTCTGTAACTGAAACGACGGGATCCGTTTATTGAGCTGGGCGCTTTTGGATTTTCGCCGCCTTGGTGGATTCGCTCAATAAAGCTGTTTGTTTGCCCCAGAGCGCTGGCACAATGATCTGCTCCAGATCGACAGATTAGAGGTGAGTTGGACTTTAACCTGCTGGAGAACGCTGTTGGATTCCCCGCTCCACTCCCCTCCGCCCGTGGAAAGTGACTATCTGCTCTTTGCCTGCGTGTTTTGAGAAGATTTATCCCTGATTAAAACTACTGGAACCAAGTTTAGTTCAAAATTTACAGGAGATTTAAGGAACCTCTAAACTCTTGCCTGGTACCACAGTTTTCCCTTGTGGCATTACAGTAATTGCTTGGCGCTAACATCATCTTGTCAGATTGGAACTTGTAATTGGGGCATTTCACCACCGTGAGCAAGTACAAAAGGACTGTCAACTGTTCTCACAGACTTTCCTTCAGTTTCAAGCAGCTTGCTCACTGATGTGTCTTGACTGTGGTATCTGCTGGTGTCTCCTGAACCCTGTTAATAAGAAATCCATGTGAATTTGGACGCTTTCTGCGCTCTTTGACGCTCACCGGTGTTCCTCTCTTTTGCTTATCTCAAAGGTGGAAATCTTAACTCCGAGGGTGTTTTGTTTTTTTTTGTATTCTTTTTGGCACTGAGATCTCTGCGTTTCACCACAGATAGAGAGAAGAACAGCCATGGATTTGGGAAATGATGTGGATTTATCCAACAACAACATCACACCTTTGTGGAGGCGGCGCACGGACCTCAGTGAAGGTCCCCAAGACTCGAACCAACTCAAGCCACGACCCGTGAGCTACCACGTAAACGGGGTCACAACTGCAGACTTCCCTGTGGGGGACGATGGATGCTCCTTCACTTTGAGCCAGCCGCCCCAGCCTTTAAACACAAACACTATGGTGTTAAAGCATGTTTTGCACAGACCTTCGGAAAAAAAGCGAATCGTTCGGAGCATTAGCATTGGGCGCCTCTACAGTGGACGCTTCTCATTGCCCAAGTTTAAAGCTGAGGATAAAAAAGCCACACTGGACAACAGGGTGTGTAATGGAAGTAGCAACAAAAGAAATAACCAGAATGGAAGTGTTTGCTCTGAAAATCATCACCAGGACATGCAGAGGTCAACCACAAACCCTGTTGATCTTGACTTGGAGAAAGACCATGTCTCCTCTGGGACAAACACACTCTCACCTGAAACTCCTACTGACAATTGTTCTCCACACTCACCAAATAACTACCACTACGAGCTGTCTTCACAGTCATCATTATCTAGCTCTTCATCTACAGGGTACGGTACCCTCACCCCCTCTCACAGCTCGTCTTCAAGCATCCCCTCACTTTCGTCTTTAACCTCCTCAGACCCTCCGACGCCCCGCTCCCCTTCACCAGCTGACAGAGGGAATTCATTGCAGTGTCAGACAACCTCCTCAGCATCCTCATACGACACCCTGTACGCCTCCTCCTCTTCCTCTCAACTCCCTCCCAACTTCTCCACATCACCGTCGCTTTCACCTGCTGCATCCTCCTCTCCGACCATTGTCCTTAGCACCAACAGCCCTGCTGCTTTAAAGATGGGCACCCAGCAGCTTATTCCCAAAGGTCTGGCATCCGATGTCCGACAAACCAAGGCGCCTCCTACTGGGACCCAACGGCTGGGATTGGACCATTCCAAACGAGCAGTGAAAGTTCTTAGCATGGTGGAAGCAGGAGGTTACTTTTCTACCGGAGGGGGCCACACCGAAGAGGCAGAGGGAGAGAACGAAAGCCCTGGGGCATTACGGAGAGGTTTGAGGAGTACGTCTTACAGGAGGGCAGTTGTGAGTGAAGTAGACAAGGACGTTACCTCGGTTGAGTTAAAGATGCCTGTCATGGAAGGGCTTGAAAATCCTGGTTCACTCAACAGCTCAACAAACCTTGCCACCTTAAGTCCAACAAGTGCCGAAGCACCAAAAGCTGCAAGCCCCAGGATTTCAAAGTCTTCAAGCCCTCGGATGGATAAAACTAAAAGCAACAAGAAAAACAAGGTGGGCCAATTTGTTGATGAATATATTTGGGGTACCCTAAAGAGGAAAATTGCAATATGTATGTTAACTCTTAAGAGAGGGGCACGCAAACAACACTGTGCTAACAGTGAATTGTTGTTTTAGTAGCAGTAGGTAGAGGGTTTCTTTCAACAGAAAGATGGATTTGGAAAACTTTTGCAGAGCAGAATGGAAAAATATTACCAAGTTCCATAGATGTGCTAAAGACTTTAGTAAAAAAGTTTTTTGTTTAATTTTTTAAATTAAAAGATACTTTAGCAAGTATTGTTATCAGGATATGCACATTTATGCAACAAGGTTGTTACAATTATTACTTGTTTTTCCTCCCCTGTGGTATATTTGTCTTCTTTTTCAATTGGACTGGATATCAGACACAGTAGGAGAGGACAACTTTGTAAAAAGTACATTTTCATGTAGGCTGCAAAAACCTGGCATTTTAACAGGTGGATGAACATTTAGGAGCCACTCTGGTTAGGTGTGTGCAGATCAAACGTGTCACAAAACTCTTTTTACTTCACTCTGTAGTCAACAAGTCGTAGCCCCTGTAAACTTTGGTAATCTGTTGAATACGTTTTAGTTTCTTTGTTGTAGCTGGTTGGGGTTTATTGACTGGGTTAATCGCAGCCTCTCTAATGGCTTAACGTACTGTTGTACACAAAGATTGCTTTGACACAAACTTACATGATCAGGAGGGGATAAGGTCTGAATCACAAAACCACAACACAGACTGACCATTGTGGTTCAAGCTTGGATTAGGACAAAGCCCTGTAGGAAAACAATTAACTTATTTGTTGGCGGTGATGATGTAATAAGACACTGTCTCCACACTGTAGATACATGCTTCCTTGGTACGCCACAATTAAAGTTGATTGCGTTTTTTTCTTCGCTTTCAGACTCTAAATAAGAAGAAGTTGACGTCTCAGCTGACATTTGACAGTGAAGGTAACACCTGTGCTTATGGGTCATTTTGTTTTTCATGCATTCCACCATTTAATGTCAATTTACTTTGAAATTCAACACTGTTTTTTGTCACAAAAATAAACCCATTTCAGAAGAGGAGCTCTACCAGAACTACCAGGAGAAAGCCCTGCACAATGACTCCGATGAGGACGCTGATGCAAGGGGACCGAAGCCGGATCAGGGCATCGTCGTGCAGTACAGACCCATACGTACCTCTTGGAGCCAACTGAGCGTGGTTAGCTAAAACACACACATACACACAAACAATCCCGCAGTAGTTGTGCGTAACCTATCCCCCGTCTCACAATCCGGTTGCTGTGGCTGCAAAGTGTTGGAATCCCAGTGCTCCAAAGAATGCTGTCACAACCAGTTGAGCCATATTTCATCCCCATCCTCCCACTTGCCTCTGTTTTTCTCTGGGACTCACTGTTTGTCCTAGCTCACTCTAGGACACACTCGGCCTCAGAGGCAGACAGTCCGTCAAGAGTCAGAGGAAGTCTCGGAAGCACTGCTGCTGGGCGCCTTTCCAGTGAACTGACAAGCCCTTCATACTCACGCTGCAAACACGCTCAAAATGTTCCCCATAGGGATGTGTGGGACGATCCTCCGTTGCGTAATAAAGTTACGGACTGGAATCTTCACAGTGGGATATCGGAAGCGAGTCAGCTAATTTATCGTTTCTTTTTATTCTTATTAAATCATGCCAAATCCATTTCATCACCATCTTTTTTCTTCGTTTGTTGCGCAAGTTTGGGATGAAAGCTGGGTGTTGGAGTTAATTAGTGTGTTTCAAAAACTTTCTGGGAAGACTAATAAAAGAGGCATTGCGAGCAAGTTAGAAACCAAAACGGTTGCTGGTACTTAAAAGAGCCACCACTCTTCAGTTTTCCTGTGTTATAAAGCTGCATTTTCAATAATACATTTTTTCAACAGTTTGTTAATCCTGGGGTTACTAAGTATTCACATCCAAGGAATAATACAGTACTATCTCACCACTACCGTGCTTCACAGTAGGGATGATTCCAACCAGGTACCTATTCTGTCTTGACGATTGGTTTCTTAGAATTCAGAACAAAAAATATATTCTTTCTTCTTGTTTTGTCTGACCTGTCAGGTGCTTTTTTTGCTGAATTTAAGGTTTCAATGAGGCTTTTAGTGAGTAGTGGCTTCCATCTGGCCACTCTTGAAAATTGGATTGTGATGTGCATCATCAAGGGTTGAACTTAAAGCCGGTTCTTACATCCCCATGAGGAAGTACTGGAGCTTATCCTGAGTGACCACTGAGTTTGGTTGGGTTGCCAGATCTGTGGAGGTTGCAAACGTCTTCCATTTCTGCACCGTGGAGACTGCGGTGCTTTTTCAGGATACTTGACACAGTCTTGTCTCTTAGGTGTGCAGGGAGTTTCTTTCTGCTCTGATAATGAAAACGACTGACTGAAAATGACTACATATGGACTCCAGCTGACTGGCTGAAGCATGGGAAATCATTTGCGTCTGTGCTTTTAGTTGTGTATTGTAGCAAATTTGGGAAAAAGTGAAGGGTTGCAAATGCTTTCTGCTGGTCCTTAGTTGTAAATAGATCTGGATGTGATTTGAGCATAGACCATCTTCACCAGACTGGCCTGTATTTTTCTGAGCTAAGAGTTTTTTTCCATCGTGTCTGTTCGGTTTGCATTTCTGTAAATCTCACATTGGAGAGTCTTAGTCATGCCCCTTTTTTTCTTTTCTTCTTTTTTTCTGTTTTTTTTTTTTGTTTGTTTGTATTTTTTGGGAATGGTGAAGCATCGCTGTTATTGTCAAGGCATGATGGGAGGCTTAGTTCGGTTTGATTCCAAGAACCAGACATACAGGTTGTCTTCAAGTGAGTCACAGCTTATCGGGACATCTCACTCAGCCCTGCCTTGCTTTTCAGCGTCTTTTTGTTTTTTAAATTTCAAATGGGACATCAAATCCAAGAAATTATGATGTTCCAGCTTTCTGTTAAAAGCTTCAGAAGGCGTGGCTTACCCAGAGTTTAATTCCTGCGGTGTAACTGTGAGCAAATAAAACAGGTTCATCTTATATGCTGACACCTAATTGATTGTGTTCCAGTCACACCCTGTACTGTACAAATGACGGTAAATTCACCTGGCATTGCCTGGAAGGTTGTCGCCTTTGCCTAAAAAATATTGAAACGGGGAAGCGGCCAAAACACATAGTATAAATAATAAATCACAAAACTGATATCTGCGCGTCTGAAGGGAGCTGAAAGATCGCTGAAGATGTTTGACCATGCTTGTCCTTGTTGCTTGGCTCAAAGGCTGCAGGGCAGATACTGCCACAGAGTTGACGCCGCTTCTGGAGGAGGCGGTTTCGCTTCCGTTCACGTCAGACTCAAACAGGCTGGGAAGTCGGTGACAGTAAGAAAATACCTTGTCAGGAACAAGGCCTGAAAGAAAGTATAATACTTATTTAGGTGCAATGTTGCCTATATGGAATGAGGTGCTTTGGTTGACCCTGTCACCACCGAGGCATTTGCCTGGAGCTGTTAGCTGGGATGTAGTGAAGCTCCTGCACCTGTCGCTGCATTTCGCCGCTCAGCTGGAGGGTGTTTTTGTACTTTTAGAAAAGCTCAGTTAGGCTGCTTGTGCATGCTTTCTTTTGCGAAAAACAGTCACTCATGATGTGGAAACTACCCGTCACCCTGACCCTGACCCACTTTGTGACCTTTAAAACTAGAGTTGTTTTCTTTTTAATTAATTGTGCTAGTAGTGTTTTATTAAAATGAGGTTTTCAATTCCATTTAGAGTCTCATTCTGGCATATTTTCCCTTAAATTTCAGTACTATTCCACTCTTAGTCCATTTCAAGATACTAGTTTTCTTGTATTTTACTGAAAAGAGAAATAAAGAAAATATAATCAATAAAAAAATTGAGACTGGAATAAAATGAACCCCAAAAGACGGGCACCAGTCCACCCACTAACCCCGCAAGGACAGACAGGTATGGATGGATAAAAATGTTTACTTACTTATTGGATTTGTTCCCATGGTATTTATTTGTGTCAAGCCATTTCGTTCTTTAGTACAGATTTTTTTTAAAAATTTTGACAATTGTTGCATTTGTTGTATCGCAACGACAATTAATACATTTAAAATGAGAGAGCGAGTGAATGAATTTGTGCCAAATACTCCCATTTTAACAAGCAGCTCTCTCGTGAATGCACTTTGCAAACACCAGCCGACGCTCAACAGAAGAGTAATAATTGAAGAAGAAACACCTTCTAATTGAAGAATTGTACTTTTTGTTAAGGTAAAGAAAAATGCCCTGGCCGAACAGCTGAGTCAGGAGGAGCGCAAAAGACAAGAGGTAGGACTTGTGTTTCATTCTCCATACCGCAAAATAATCTCAAGTGTTCTTACAAACCGGGATAAGATGTCCGTTTGTACCTGTGATTTGTGTCACAACGACAAAACCCCTCCATTAAAGTAGAGCGATTAGAGAGGCGCTCTATTAAGCTGTCATTTACAGCAATGAATTGTGAGTATGGGAGTCAGATTTCAAACAGACACAACTGGTTCAAAAGTCTTCTCGGGTGAATATCGTTTGCTTCGACGTTCCAGACGTGACTAAAGTCTGCAGGTATGCGAGTCGCGTCGACGACAGGGCCCCGGGGAAAACTCTCGTCTTTCCTCCCGTCAGATTTCATCCGGGTTGCTTTTCTCTCTCTCTCTCTCTCTCTCTCCCTCTTTCTTTAAGGCCATCTTCGAAGTGATCTCGTCGGAGCACTCCTACCTGCACAGCCTGGAGATCCTCATCCGTATGTTCAAGAACTCGTCGGAGCTCAGTGAGGCGATGAGCAAGATCGAACACCACCACCTCTTCTCCAACATCTCAGACGTCTGCCAGGCCAGCAAAAAGTACGTCTGGCGTTGTTCGGGGAATCGATCGTTTACTTCTCCGGCGAGACGAGAAAATGGTTTCGCTAAAATGAGTATTGCTTCCGCAGGGGGGCAGAGTGTCCAGAAATTGCACTCAAGTAAGAATAGCACTACTCCAAAATGTTTCTGCTCAAGTAAAAAAGTAAAAGTAGCCGTCCAGAAAATTACTCGAGTAAGAGTGAAAAAAAGGGTTTGGTAAATAATCTACCCAAAATTGATCATTTACTATTTAAAAATTACATAATCAGACAGACCAAAATATAGAGTTAAGTGTATATTTTGGTGTTTTAAGGGTGAAAATGACAGTAATTTAAATAAGTAACAACAAATAACAAAACTAGGCAAAAGATTTCTTGTTTTTTTCAAAATCCGTTTCTTTCAATGAAAAAAAAAAACCACACAACTTTAACAAAAACTGCAGGCGTGTGTTTTGTCTGGTGAGTTTTTGGCTAAAATATGTTTGTTTTTCATCCAGCGGGAACAAAATGACTCAAGCGGAAGTGAAAAGTACAGCGTAGTAAGAATACTTCTTCCAAAAACTTACTGGAGTAAACGTAACTGAGTGAATGAAACAATTCCATGCTGCAGACATGCTGCTTTAATTTCATCGCTTGCTATTTTCTCTTTGACTCGGAATCAGGCGTCCAGCGACTGACAGACGACTGAGAACTCGACAGCCGGCTTCCACTGTTATGACACAAAGTATCAACGACAATTAGCTGCAAGGAAATATTTGGGCTAAGCTGTCTGTTATGGTTTATTAGCTCTTGTGTTCAGACTGGTTTTGAAAAATTCCTGGCTGAGGTCACGATGAGCTTCCATTTATCTCACAAATGAGTGGAAACACTCATCCATTAGAGGCTACAAAAGCTGAGACCGTGGAAATCTTTGCTCCCTCAGCAGGGACAACATTTGTTGTTTCTCCAAAAGAGTTGCTTGTAGACGTGATCTCTCTCTCTCTGTCTCTCTCTCTCTCTCTCTCTCCATCTCTCCCTCTCTCTCTCTCTTTCTCTCTCTCTTTTTCTCTGTTGTGGATTTCAAAGTGGGAAAAAAAACAACAACAAAAAAAAACAGGTTCTTTAAAAAAAGAAAGAACAAATGAAGATTGGTGATAGCAAAAGCCTTAACTTTCCCATTGGATAACATTTGCGACTGGCTTTTTACACAACTGCAAGGACCTCAGACACTAATCTATAAGCTTGTGTATCTTATGTTACACAGCTGATCCCAACATTTTTGGGGCCAAATGAATAACAACCTTTGTCTTTTCTTTATTAAATTAAGCACATTCTGAACCAGGCCTGTCACAATAGACAATAAATCAGTTAATCGCACAATAAATCAAAGCAAACGCAATCGTTTTCATTTGTTTGATTTATCATTTTTCTCTTTTCTCTCGCTTTTTACCAAAACTTGTCTTGTGTTTGGCGCTTTGGCTTCAATTATCCCTCTTTTGGAAAAAACAATTTAGTCGACAGAGACTTCAGAATTCATTCTATTTGTTGTTTCTGTTGTTCCGTTTATTCATTTCGGATATTTAAAATGATTATTCCAGCTGAAATGTTTAAATGTTCATCAAAATGTATAGTTTATTGATCTTCGAGAATATGTTCTTGCATTATTCTTCCATTGTTACGATCATATTAGTTGAAAGTTGTCTCTAAACAAAATAAGAGGGGTTCTGACAACGGAGCCTTGTGGAATCCCACGTTGGATTTTTCTTCACTTAGTCTTATAACAAGCAACTGACACACTTCAAGTACATCGATTAGTATGTGAGAATCATTTTAGCAAGTTTGGTGTTAGGTGAATATTGTCAGAATGCCATAAAGCTGAACTCTGATGTACACAACCAGCATCTCAACCTTTGGTCACTTTGGTTACTGTGTAAGCACTGGGTGACTTTACGTGACCAGTGAGTTGCCACATAAAATGAGAAAATGGAAACCCAGAGGGGGGGAAGCATGTGGTTTTGTAAACTCTTGTATTTTGTTCTTTAACACATCAGCTTGTCTCTACAAATTTACCCACGACACGCTGTCGAAATATCCACCTGCTTAAAGGCCATTTTGAGCCAGATGTTGCAGACTGACCATTGAATCTTTCTTGCTACATCTTGTCAAGCAGATCTGCAACCCGCTCATCTTTAAAAAAAAAAAAAAAAATCAGTGCATGAAATCATACGAGTTAAAACTGCCTTGATGAAATTCATTGTTGCGTTTTTGAATGACTCAATATTAGTTCATCCACTCTGTAGACAGGCTGCAACCCATCTCACTTCTGTTCGTCAGACATATTCGTGGAAAACACACACGGTAATGTGCGCTTGCTCCCTGCGACACCGGTTAAGCAACATTTTTCACTTCAAATTTGAATTTTTGTTTTGCAAAACAAGAGCGTAATATCTGTCTGCAGCCAGGATGCTGTGTCGTCTGTATAATGGGGAGTGTGTGCGTGCGTGCGTCTCCCCCACCCCCACTCCTTCCTTTACACACAGGCGGGTTCCTGTTTGTGTATTTTTCCTTTGGTATGGCTTACTTAATAAAAGTTTTATATGAAATCTTACCATTTAACTGGGACAAGAACATTTAATGAGATTCAGGATGCGGTTTAATTCGTGCTCTTTGTCAGTAGTGGTTCTGTAAATGTCTTTGTTCGCGTGTTGATTTAACTCCAGCAATTTATTGTAGCCGTTTGGACTTATTGGTCTAATTTTTGGGAACTTTGATCCTCTTAATGTCCTTAATTTAGGTCATGGAGGGCCTGGGTTTAGGACTCATGGCCATCAAGACATCATGGAAAGAACAAAATTAGACATTTGCAAACGGCCGCATAGTCACAAGAAGTACTGTTTCCCAGCAAAAAAAAAAACCAAACAAACCCTGCAATGGGTCTGTTGAGTGAAGGAACTGGTCTTTGCTCATTTGCTTCTCCAGTTAAGCTCGGACATTGGTCTAGCAGGTCAAGGGCAGCATCCTGTGTCTGTGTCCCCGCTTCCTGTTTGCCACCTAAGCCAGGGCGAGCAAAAACACTCGCTCTCTTGAAGTCGGACAAATGGCGTGTCATTAACCCGGCCATCTGTTGGTGCTTAGGAAGAGGAAACGCATCTATGTAATGGTTACTGCTTGGCTTTTATCTATATTTAGTGTCGGGGAGTTCCGCTTCGTGATCTCACTATGAGTTTTTATAGGTAAGACGTTGGCAGGTCGTCTCGGTATCCTGACTTTGCGTCCATTAGTGCGTCACGTGTTTTCCTCCCTTGGGGTCATAACTTTATGTCATTCTATCATGGCAGCTCATGGCCTACTAACCTTTGGTTTCTTCTTTTTTTTTCTTTTTACAACCGTGCCTCAGGTTCTTTAAGGAGCTGGAGGAAAGACACCAACAGAGCATAGTCATCGATGACATCAGTGACATCGTTTGCAAGCACGCCGAGTCAAACTTCGACCCTTACATCAAGTACTGCTCCAATGAGGTGTACCAGCAGAGAACGCTGCAGAGGCTGGTGTGAGTGACCGAGCGAACAAATTCAAAACAGATGTCTTCCTCAGGGACGTTCTCTCTTTCTCCCCTGCTCCTCTCATTTGGCCTTCTTCCTTTCAGCGGTGCCAAGAATTCTGCTTTCAAGGAGGTACTGACCAGGTTGGAGGGCCACCCAGACTGCAGGAGCCTCCCCATGATCTCCTTCCTCATCCTGCCCATGCAGAGGATCACTCGCCTGCCTCTGCTCTTGGACGTGAGTGAACCGAAGGCGCACAGTAGCTCAGGCCCGAGGAATGACAAGACTTCTTGGAGTTACGCAACGCTTTGTTTATTTGGCTGCGCGCGGAGAGCGTTCTAACCGCAGAGGCGTTTCCGTGACCTCGCGTCATCCGTTGATAATCCCCAGTGATTCATTTTCACTTGTTCGTTTTGTTTGTTTCTTGTTGGAACTGAGTTCCCTGTGTCTCCCTTTTATCTTTTTTTTCTCATCATAATTTTTTTTTTTTTTAAGTGGCTCCCAAAGGGGTTTTGGGGTTTATGCTTGTACTGAGAAAGTTTTATTTCTGTTTGTTTACTCCCACAGTGCCAGAATTTGGTCCCTGCTGATGCAGCGTATTGAACAATCTGTAGACTTCTCTACAGATTTCATTTGTTTTCTATTGTAACACTTTAATATTTCTGATCAGCAAACATTTTTTTAAAGCAAAGATAACTGTAATAAATGCACAATGGAGTTAGCAAACAATTCCATTTACTGGGAAAATAATCCTTCCATCTCAACCTGGCCTTGTGCGAAACTCAGGAATTGAGTCGAATTGGTCATTTTATAACTTTCCCAAGGAGGAAGTTTGGCAAACTCGTCTTTACAGGTTTAATTCAGAACCATTAATGTGTGTTTGTGAACCAGCTGACTGTTTGAGGAGAAGCCAGAGCTTCTCCATATGGTTTAAGTCTGGACTTTGACTAGGCCACCCCGCTCTTTCAGCCTTTCCGAGTTGGACTTGCTGATGTTTTGACAATTTTCCTTCTGATAGTCAACCGTCCCCTTTCAGAGCTGTCTTGCAGAGTGAAGTTAAACTGCACTGATAGTGGCCTGCAGTTTGTCTGATGGTTTGGGGTTTTGGACCAACCCCCAAAGCATGACTCTGCCACCACTGTGTTTGACTTCTGCCACACCCCACCCTTCAGCATTTTCTTCCTCTGAAATGTCGTGTTAGTTTCACACTGGATGTAACTGAGTGTAGTTTCTCTCTTTGGGAGTCCTTTTTGCAGGCCAGCCCACTCCAAAGTTCACGACCTGTTGACGATCCCTTCATTTGTGGATAGTTCTCACTAAGATTCCCTAAGCTTCAGCACGCTCACATACCAGAACTGTCTGACCCGCTTTCAACAAACCAGAGTTTGCATGCTGGGTTAGTCTGCTTTATTTGAGTAAGTGTGAAAGAACAGGCCGTGTAACCCTCCCTAGGCTGCAATTATGTCAATGCCTTTTCCTATTTGTTTTGAAATTCTTTATAGAGTTTTTGCACCTTTATAAACTTTTATAAACTTTTAGCCTACTTCATCTAGTTCTCTCAACTAGAATGGGTTCTAGTTGAGGGATTTCTGATTTTGCAGGTCTTCTAATAACCAATTCTGATTTTGTCCAATGCAATTGTGGTCATGCTGAGGTTATATTTGATATCAAAATTAATTTGAAACAGAAAAGCAAAACACAGAAAACTGTTTTAGGAGTCTTATTTTATTGCTCTGCATGAGCATAGTGGAGAGAGTGGGCTATTGTCCACAACTGTTTCGTTTTTAATGTGAAACGTCTGTATTCATGTGTGTGTGTTTTGCAGACCATCTGTCAGAAGACGTCAAAAGACTCGGCACGCTACGAAACATGCAAGAAAGCTTTGCAAGCCGTGAGCAAGGTTGGTGCTTTATTTTGTTTTTTGTTTCATTTTATTAAATTGTCTAATATCTGGATAAAGTTGCAAATTAGTGAAATGGAATATATTTACGTCTTCTGGTGGTCTGTTTATCTTTTCATTTTTGTTTTTGATAGTTCTACATCTTATTCCCGGTGAAATCTGTTTTACCACAATCAAGTAAAGACATACGTATCTTTGTTTGGTACCTCTTTGCTTATCAGATGGAATCTGTAATCAAATATTGTTTTATTATAGACGGTAAATTCAGCTGACGGTAAATGAAACCGATCCTTAATGGTCATTCGCAATGCAATGATCTTTGCATTGTTTTCTTGTTTTCATGTTGATTTTGTTTTAGTTCTTTTTCCGATGTTGTGCTGCAGCACAGTAACGCGCTGTTCGAAAAACAAATCATCGGGATTTGGAAGAGCCTGGTTTGGAAGGGGCTGATGATTATGGAAATGTCAAGAATGAAATAAAGTTAATGGATCACCGCTAGACTGTCATGGAAAAACAGATTGGTTCCTGCGGCTCCTGGTCTGGTAGTAGACTTACGAGATCCTGAAATAATTGTAAAGAAAAACAGAGCAGTGTCAGATTCTCGTGTCATGATGAGCTGGAGTAAAAAGATCCTAATTCACAAATCGAGAAGCTTTTATGTAAAACAGTTGGGAAAGCGACTTATATGACTGCATGAAATAAGTTATTATTTGCGTAATATGTACGTGTGCTTTGCTGCAATTTTCAAAAAAGCTTAAGTAAACACATAAAATACACACATCCCTTATACTGATGGTTTTTAAGTAAAAAAACAACAATGAATTATGCATTTTGAGTCTACATCTGAAATATTTTCATACAGTCATTTCAGTTAGTTAAAAGAGTAGCAGCCTCTTGCAGCCAGCTAACTGGCAGTGCACAGGAAAAGCAGTCAGAGAGGCAGAGCAGCATTAAATCCTTTGTATTTGAAAACATATATATTTATATATATATATATATATTTTTTTTGTCATTATCTTTTTCTCATCTGTGTGAGCAGGTGGTGAGGAAATGCAACGAAGGCGCCCGCACGATGGAGAGAACAGAGATGATGTACACAATCAACACTCAGCTGGAGTTCAAGATTAAGGTAACAACTTCCCATTAGAGTAAACGAGGAAGTTAAATAAAAGCCGCCTGCGGGTGGCAATATTTTGTTCCCAAACTGACGTGTTTTGTGTATTATTAGCCGAGATGACGCTGAATCGGATTCAAATCTCATTCTGTGATGTTTTTACGTCTGACTTTGTATCCAGTTTAGTTACTTTTATTGCGGGAAACGAGGCAAACAAATTGTAAAACTTCAATTTGTTTGTTGTCAACTGTTTCAAAATACGGTAGAATTTTGCTGATATCAATTTGAAGGTCATTCGCTTTTGATTTTTTGTTTTTTATTATTGTGCCGCTCCTTTTCCAAACGCTGGATGTCCTTGAACACTTTTTCCTGATTCGTTGAGATTCATATTCATTCATTTTCATTCATTTCTTCCAAGAAATGAAATACTTTCACGCGTTATCGTTTTCTGTGGCCAGCCAGATTTTTATCACCAGCGCTGCTCCTGACTAACCAGACAAATCAATGTGAACAAATCAGAGCAGGTTTACACTTTACGCCACGAGCAACTTGTCTGTCATCACAGTCAATGGACTGAGATGTTCATTTAAAAGCAGCACTTTTTTGTCCCAATTATTATTATTATTATTATTATTATTATTATTATTATTATTATTATTTGGCAACATGTTTCACGAACATGAAGGCATGACTTTTATACTTGAGCACATTTTCCCATTTATCTGAAAGACTTTGTGTTGCGCCCCCATCCTGCTGTTGCACTTCTTTCCTTTTGCTTCCACTGAGTAACAGATACGGGATTCTTCTCTCTGTCCTGTTGGACTTCAAACATGTTTTAGCGCTGAACTATTGTGTGTTGACCTGACAACGATTTGGCTCGTACTTGGTCGCTAAATGTTGCTCGTCCCCTTCCCTGCCTTTCAACAACTGGCCTGAAACGGCATTTTATGTCAGGGGCAAGACGAGTGGCGCGATGCAGCTGCACGCACACATGTATCCGCAGCAACGTAAAGCATGCGCACACTTGGCACAGGTCTTCACACTCACTAAACACACAAGGCGTGGCAGGCAGGGAAATGTTTCAGAGCATGAAAACATTTCCATGCTCCGACTTAATCTGTTGCTCAAGTGTCTGACCAGTGTGGGAAAGAAAAAAAAAAAAAAAAGCTGTCGCAGCGTTTGGGATTCACAGATGCCTCTCGTGTCGACAGCTGATCCACCTTTGGTCCTCCAGCTGAGGGACTTTGCAATCTTCAGAATTGAATGCAACTTTATTAAGTTTGTTGTTTTGATCTATTTCCATTTTGTGTGTTTTTTGTGCCTCCAGCCTTTCCCGCTGGTCTCGTCCTCCAGGTGGATGGTGAAGAGAGGCGAGCTGACTGCATTCGTGGAGGACAGCGGCATCTTCACGAAGCGGAAATCCCGACAACACGTCTACTTCTTCCTCTTCAACGACGTCCTCATCGTCACCAAGAAGAAGGGGTGAGCCTGCGAACACGGACGACCTATTAGTACAATTAAAATAACATTTATGAATAACTTTACTGAGCTATAAAAGCTTGTTTTAAGTCAATAATTCCTTAATATTGATTTTATTACTGGCAGATTTCTTTACGTAAAACATAAGTCAAAAATTAAGCAATTATTGACTTGAAGGAAGCCATTACATCTAGCTGAAAAGTTACTTCCAGGTTAGTCTTGTCTTTTTCTAAGTATGCTTACACTGGAAACCAGACAAAAAGTATTTGGTGTGTTTTTGCAGGTGGATTATTTTTCATAGCTCAGAAGCAATGCCATTAATACGAACCAGTCGTTCCAGGTTTATAGAAACTTTCTGATAAATCATTAAGCTTTTATTTCTGCTGAATAAAGTGATTCTTAAATGTTTGAAATAGGAAAATGTATACATTTTTACAAAACTCCTTCTAAATAGATGTCAATTCATTAAAACCATTCTCCCACGGTTGGATTCTTAAACATTTTCAGTATGACGATATCCGCTCTGTTATTTAGACATGAAGACATGATCTTATTGTGTTTTACACATTTTTAAGGTTGCCAGGCAATGTGGAAAGTGCTTCAAGTTCAGCGTCAGCACTTTCGGTATCTCGAAGTTGGTGCTTGTATAACTTTACTGGAGACCATTTCTGAGATAAGAGACCGAGATTGTAATAGGAGCCACATCCCTGACGGTCGACTCGTGTAATGGAAAAATCTGAAGGTGGAGATGTCTTATCACACAGAACATAAGCATCCAGGGTTTATTAGAGGCCTCTTAATGGGAGAAAAGAAGCAGCTTGAGTCTAAAATGGCCAAATGAAAACATTTCCATGCTCCTACTGCTGCAAAAAGCCCAAAGATATTCAGACTCAGAGTAGATTAAAAGTAAGCTTTTTGATTTTAACTAATACAACTTTTTTTTTTTTTTTTCAGTGGTTCAGTCCCAACTCAAATTTGGTGAAGAATAGTTAAAATACGTCAAAAAAAATAATAATAATGTTTTAGATCTTCAGGAGCCATGAATTCATTTCCATTAATTGTCAAGAAGGGTATGAATCCCTCTTGTTTAACTCTTAAGTCTTTCCATTGTCGTCTGTGCTTTCGAGTACATAGTTATGTCTCTATTTTTAGGCAACAGCAAAAATAAACATTCAAAAATATGCAGAGAACGTCCGTAAAACTGTGTTTTTCATCTGCGTGTGGTTTCAATCGCATGCTTGTGAAAAAATTTTCTGAAATATCCTGTCCTTTCTTGTCATGTGTCTGGATTCGATTGCCATGCTTTTCGCAGACTGAGAGTTCCCAATAATTAAAAAAGAAAAGAGAAAAAGAAACACTGAAACACATTCCTCCTTATGTTTTTCTGAGAATCTGATATGGAACAGCAGACTCGGGCAGTGAAAAGCGTCAGGGACTGCGTGTTTGGGAAGGGAGTGCTTTGGAATCAGTGGCGTGTGTGTGTGTGTGTGTGGGTGTGTGTGTGTGAATGGGAGAAGCTGTTATAATATTGGTTTGTACCGTTTGGAGAGCCGCGGCCGCGCCGTGGCACGCCACCCCGCCGTGCTCCAGCTGCGGCGCCGAAAGCACTGGAGGTTCACGAGGCCAGTAGCAGGTCATACACCCTCTCCGATACAACAAAACAACAACGATCTCGTTGGTTCTGACCCAGAGTGTGTGGTCCATCGTGTGGCTAAATCCACCGTTGCCTCAAAAACCTTTCTGCTTCTTCTTGCCCCGTTTGTATTCCTCAAAATGCTCGGAAGGTGTCGCAGGGTCAGAACCGAGACACTTAAACGTTGGAGAAAAATAACCTTTGACCTTAGAAGGTTTTCAGGACGAAGGTAGTGTTAGATAACGACACTAGTGGTAGAAGCGATGTTGTATCTACTGGTTATCTTGCACTTTATTTTCTTAATGTAGGAAGAGCTGCGTTAGTTTCACCCACATTTTATGTGTTTTAAAAGCTAGCGCTTTGCCTCAATGGAAAGTAATGAGTAACTTCTTGCAAGCAGATTTCTAGGATTTAAAACTAGAGTCTGGAAATCACATCTCATGTCAAGACCTTATATCTCTCTCTCTAGCACTGAGATATAATGGGGTTGTCGTGTTTTGGTATTAAAAGATGCTAAGCAGATTGGAAATGTAAAAATGTAATTATATGTTACGGAAAACATCGTCAGCAAAGGGTGTGTGACCAAAATATTACACAATACTAAGAGAAAGATCGACTCCGTTTTTTAAAAGGCCGCAAACTGACGGATGCTGATTCTTTGAAACCAGTCACAGTTCAACATGCAACCTTTTTGAACTCAAAACAACCGGTGTGAAATGCTGAGCAAGTCCATCCTGCTAATCTGTCTTTACTCCTGTACATTCAGTGGAGATGAAAACCTCTCTGTCTCTTTGCCACATTCACATGAGCGAACGTGAAGCTCTTCTTCTCAGAGCCGGAGTCTCATCCGCCCAAGAGACGGCGCGACTCCCGGTTTGTTTGCCAAACAGCAAAGTGTAAATCAGGAAACCAGAAGCTGCCACGGTATGCGGAAACATTTGGTTGATGTCTGAGCTCCCTTAATCCAGAGCAGTGTGTTTGTTTGGTTAAACCTTAGGGTAGTTTTCATCCTATATCATTTTCGGTGTTTATAATCCTCCGCATTTGTGTCAAGATGTGACTGCAGCTGTCTCCCGCTTCCTTTGAGCTGCTCTATAGCGATTGCTGGGCACGATACCTGCTCGCCTGATCACTCATGAATACTCACCGTGCAAACGTGACGTCCCCACCCATCCTGTCCATGTCACAAGAATGGCATTCCTGGAATTTCACCGGTAGATTTGTCCTCAGGGAGGCAAAAATGCTGGTGCTCCAAAACAATCTGGTGAGGAAGACCAGGAGGAGAAACGTTTCTAACTCTACATCATTTTGACTGTTGTTTTATCTTTGCTGAGTGAAGGTAAATCAGATGAGCAACCGATCAATCAATGACTGGAGCATCTCTACTTCATTAGATAAAAGATTCCATTCATTGTTGATTTTCATTAAATCATTTTTGAAGCTCAAAATAAACTTTTGTGATATAATTAATGCGTCTATTTACTCTAAATGTCATATTTAGTTTCTAGGTGTCGCGGCTAAATTGCTTACAGTCAAAAAGAGCAAAACGGAGTGTAAATGTAGACCTGCATCACCTGAGCGTCCATGTGTAGCGGTTAGCTGTGTGCAGTGTAGCACATCAGAACTCTGCCCTGACCCGACTCTTTGTTTGAACACTACTCAAACCATGGCTTCATTACCAACATGCGCATCTGTTTTTCTGTTTTTAAACAAGTCTTTGAAGCTCTCATGCTAGTTCTCAGCTGTTTCAGCTGGTAAAATGGGATTTGGAGATTCTCATGTCATGTCTTCACTTGAATTCTTCTTCCGAAGCTTCTCTGCTGATATTTCCTGACTTGCATAAAATTCATGAAGCCTCCACGCCGCCGAAGGACAGACTGTGCGTGTGGCTTGTTAGCTGTCTGCACCTTCTGTACTTTGAGATTGAGCTTTCCAAACATAAAACAGCGGTTCAAGGAAATCATCACTTAAAATGTTAACGGTTCTTTCTGATAAGAGAGCCTGCAGAGACGGCTTTATTTGGTGTTTTTCTCCTGCTTGTCTCTGGATCACGGGCGCATCCCAGGCTTATTTAAGCAAACGACTTTTACTCTTGTATTTGAGAACGTGTTGAACAGATTCAGTTTCATGGTCGCAAATCTCACCCAAGCAGCGACTCTGAATGTGTCCAACTAGCTGGTGCAAGCCCAAACTCTTAAAACGATAAACGTTAGCTAAATGTATCCGTGCAAAGCACAATGTAACCACATTAGCCAAAGGATATTTAGTTTTGCTTTCAAACGCTGGGCCATCTGACAAAAATAACCAAATCAATGAGCTCACTAATCTGCAGGCGCTCGTTCAGAATAAGAATGTTGTTTTTCAGCTGGATTGTGGAATTGAAATTAGACTCAATTCCAATAAAATGTTGTTTTGTCAATTTTATTTTGAGACCCGTATTTGTTGCTCTGCCAAGTAATAATTTGATGATGCAAATACGTCCATCCTAGTGAATTTAACAGTCAAATCAAGCCACTCCACCATTTCTTTCTGTTCCTGTGCACTACTTCCAGGAAGGAAACAGTTTTCCTTCCTGCTGTTTGCTGTATTCCTCGTTTGCCACCATTAAAAATAACTTTTACTTGGTGAAATGCAAATTTCAGTGAACGGCGGGTGGCCTTTTCTCCCCTTACAGTATGCTTTTCTTGTCTTTTTTTGTCATAGCAGATAAAACGACAATAAAATATATTAAAGTTTGTGGCTGTAGTTCAAAGAACTGAAGTGTGCGGCTGACTTCGTCACCTGCAGACAGATTAACTGTCTCGAGTCCAAAAATGTTTATCAAGCATTTTTTTTCTTTGTGCCTTTTCTTTCTTTCTCCACCAGTGAGGACAGCCACACGGTCATCGACTACGCCCTGCGGGACCAGATCCAAGTGGGCAGCAGTCAGCCTGAGGACGTTCACCTCTCCCCGGCCAAAAGCCCCACGAGCATGCTGAGCTCGCGGCAGGTCGGCGCAAACCACCTCTTCCGGCTGTGTTTCCGAAGCAACCACTCCAGCGAAAAGGTGGCGATGATCCTCGGAACGGAGTCGGAGTGAGTGCCTTGCTTTTTGTTCTTTCTCCCCTTCTTTTTAATTTGGCCATCTTGCCTGTTCAAATTTCACTGAAGCATTTACGACCCTTGGCCTTAAGCGGGAGTGGATGAGTTTCGCCCATCACTCCTGCGTGTTTGTACCTGTTGAAGGCTCATCTTATGGCTATTGGTTCAGACAGCAGAGGGGATCTGAGATCTTTTAACATTCTGTCTGAATTTCTGTGTGAAAAAGCGCAAGTCGTATTTTTAGGTCCATTATGTGCTGCTGTCTGCATCTTCTGACTCACAGACAGACAGAATTCCCTCCTGGTTTCAGCTTCATTAAAGTAACAATCTGCTCTGAAAACAAATAGAAAGATGGAAGTGAAATATGTTGGCGTTTTGCACAGAGAGTATAAAACAGTCAGTGTCCCTACGCCATTTGTTTTCAAGTAATTTAGGCTAAAGTCAGCCCAAGTCCTAAAAACAGCCGGTTGTAACTTCATCTCTCCTCATACAGTAATTACAGAGCAAAGTGAGGATGTTCGGATTAAATAACCCAAACAAAGGAGGGGGATCTGCTTCACATTGGTTCACATGCATGGATGCACAGACACACAATGCCGTACGCTGTAATTATCCGCTGCGGTTCAAAGCTTTGCTAAAGAGAGTCTTCACTGTTCCTCCTCACTCTCATGCAGCTGGAGAAACTCCCTCCGTCTTCTGACGGGAGAAGCTGTGATTTACTGCTTTTGTGTGGAGAAATGTTTTGTGTGGGACATTTCTAATGCTGCTAACACCTTCCTGTCTTTGCTTTTACCAGACATTGAAGCCTACCTATTCAACTTAGCCTTGAAGCACATGTAATATTTTTCACTATTTTTCTATCCTTTGCTCCCCAAAAAAACTTCAATATTTAATAAATCCTCCCTCTTAATGTTTTCTTTTAAGCTTCTTTTATGTCATTGTGGCCGTTAATTATTATTATTTTTTTAAATTAGACTCCAATGAAAACATGAAACTCAACAGGTACTGGTTTGTGTCGGTGACATCATCCGAATGCAATCTTGCTGCCCAACCGTCCTCTCTGCTGCACCAGTTGCTGTGGAAAAGCCTTCGTCTGGCGGCGTCTGCAGCAGTCGGCTGCCAATGCCACGGTGTGTGTCGCACAGCTCGCCGAAACCCCGAATGAGCCCAGAAAAACCGGCGGGGGAGACCCTGGCAACAGTCCAGTGTCGTGGCGGTAACCGGGCTTTGTTTAAGCCGTTGTTTAGCAACAGACAGCAGCTAAGCTGGCCGTTTCCCACGGCCGTGCCCCCACCCACCCACACACACACACACACCCACACACACACACACACACCCACCCACTCTCTGCTCCTGTGCTTCTCCCGATCCTTCGACACATTGCCCAGAGTCTGCGTGCCTCTTCTTTCACAAAGAGGACTGATTGTGTGAGCTCTTTGTTTTCTGATGACCGTCCCGTCCGGTCGTCCCAAGTTTAGTGGAAAAAAAAATAAAAAATTGCACAACATGGAGTCTTGTCTCAGCAGGCTGGGAGTTAAACAAGGGAGGCTGTTAGCAGCTCCACCTAAAAATAGATAAAAAGTTTAACGAGAGAGCTTCTTTTTCACCCCCTCCCCAGTACTAATCCGAGCCAATACTTAGTACAGCTTCTGCAGGCTGACATCCGCTCCAATGAAGAAAGCGATCATAAGGTTCTGACAAATAAAACGTGAACGGCTTCAGTGAGTCATATCTGAGCCGATGCATGCAGCCAATCTTAACTCGTCATAATCTTGCTGCTAATGCTTTCATGCTGAATAATTCATTGAAGTCTCAGGCTAATGCCAGCAAGTTTACTCTGTGTTTTGATATGACTTGTTGCTAATTTTTTGTCACCAGCTTCTGGTGCCCCATACGCTTTTCACAAATAGAGAATGACAAGCTGCTTCACAGTATTGCACATTCACGCGCACATGCATGTGTATTTCCCAGGCACTCCAACAGACTGTCAATCGTTTGCTCCAAATTGCCCTCAAATTGGAGCATGTGGTGACTTTCTCCAGCAGGAAAAAAATTGGCATAACTGTAAAATATAAATTCAGATTCAGTTTTCGTCATATGCTTTAACTTTCTGTATATTTCAGAGCTTATTTTCTGCTAAATCCACACAAGGATTTGATGAGTTTAATGTCCGATAAAGTAATTATGTGGATTAAAAGTTTTCAGCTCGTGATTTGAAATGATTTGGTCATCTGGTCCAGTCAAAACAGACTAGTGATAGATTTGCAGAAAACCTTCCTGTACGATACCTGATGTAAAATTGTTGAAGCATTTAATAAACACGTAAACATAATTTTATGGCACAGTCGGGAGGTAAATGAAGAAGAAATGGAGTTAATACTGAACTTTTAAGGCCTTTTTTTGTGGACCACCATGGATTGGAGAGCAAAGGTGACAAAAATTGTAAGATTTCTCTTTCAGTATCTACTTCCCTGGAAAAGAAATTATTCTTATCTTAAAATATTTAAAACATTGTCCGTTATGTTTCCTTTTATCGCTGACTTTGCGTGCAGTGAATGTTTGCCGTTCCAGGGTGAAATTCTTCACATTCTGACTTTAGGCTCGTCTGTTTTTCTTCTGGAAACAAAACTGCAGAAATGGGTTTTGGTGGGTTTGAGTTTTTTCTTCCCATCTGGCAGTTTTTGCTTTCATTTCCACTCACTGACATTACTCCCGTGTCTGCGAAACCTCTGCTTAGCGTTCCACAAGGAACTTAGAGATGGATCAGAGAGACGGTTCCCTGTGTGAACTTCTACTTTTTCCCTCTTTTTTTGTTGTTGACATTCTGCTCTGCTTGCATGCTGGGATGCTTTCCCCGTGACCTTGTTGCTGTGTCTAGTGTTCAGAATCGGTGAATAGCGCTCGTCTATTAGTGGAACAGAGCGGCTTCAGAAGCCCGCAGGAAAACAGAGCCGAAATTCAGCTGTGGCAGAGAGCAGAACCGATTATATAACAGAGAAGGGAGTCGGTGCTTCTGTTCTGCACACTGGATCGTTTTGGGTTTTTTCTTTTGTTACCCCCCCCCCTTCATCTTCTCTGCTTTTGTTTAAATGCGATAATGGGAAAGCCGTTGATGGGAAATGGAACGTGCAAGCCGCAGATGCTCGGGGATTTTCACAACTGCGCTGCGTTTGTGTCTGAGCAGTAATTAAGAAGTCCCAGTGTTCATGATTATTGCTGGAACACGAACGATGAGCCTGAGCTGAGCCAGAATCGGTGCAGTGTCTCTCGGTGAAGGCACAGCATGCAGCTTTTCTCTTTTGGCCTACCTCGTATCGTCTGACAGGTTCTGTCCGATGACAGGTGTGGCTATTTTTGCACCCACCTCTCTTACATCATCCCATTCTGGATGATGTAAAAGTCTGTCTTATTAATTTCCATAGCCATATCTGCTGTATAATACTGACTATAGCAGTAACAACAGAAATTATTTGTCATATTGTTATGCAGTGATGGATAAAAGTAGTGCAAATAGTTTCACAGCTTTAGAGCAGCAGCTTTACCGTGTGGAAGTCCGAAACGAGAGGGTAAACAAACCGGTTGGAGGGAAACACCCAAAAGTCTGGGCGGTGATGTCGGGGTCATCCGACACAGGAAGGAAGGTCAGAGAAGGGGGCCGTCATCACTCTCGAGCCGCTTGTGTGCAAGAGGTTTTGCAATCCGCCCGGCGAGACTCTCTTCTTTTCAGAGGTGAAATCCGAGCCTTTCACAATGGATTTATGTATCTTGGCATTCCTTCCTCATCGGCAGGATGAATGGCTGAAGCCGGAGGAAGTCTCACTGCAATGAATAGACCGATTCTGCACAGGCTTTTCAGTCAATGGGAGGGGAAGAGGGCGGTGGGGGGCAGGGGGGTAAAGCACCTGCTGTCAGCGCACATACCGCACAAGTCTAAGTACGTCTCGCATGCGTTGACCCTGCCGATGCCTGCGCTTGTATTTGTTGGTTGTTCCAGCTGTTTTGAACGAGAGGCCGACCTGCCGGGGCGTCTGCCTCGCGCGCTCAAACACCCGACCGTTGGCACGCAGGCCCGGCTGTTGAGAAAAGCAAACAGCTGTCTCAGCCACAGGAGGCACATTGATGTCCATGAAATTGAATGAGAAACACATGATGTTTGTAGTGCTTCTAAGTCTTGATACGTGTGATTTAAAGGGGTTTTTAAAGGATGATTGTGTGTGGTTGTCGGTAACCATCCCTTTACTTATAGGAGATGCGTATCTTAAGAGAGGCTGTTTGTAAATTACACTTCTTTGTATATTTAAATCCAGCTAAATTTAACATTTTTGCCAAAAACGAAATAGAGCAACCATCTAATATCAGCAGCAGGTGTGGGAGGGGCACCACTGTGTTAATCTATGTGTCGTCTAACATTTTCTCTGGCTTTTTACGAACAGGACATAAAAGTGTAGGATAGTGTGATGGAGCATTTTAGCAGTTTTATCAGTGGCACCTGAACCTCAGTCATCGGTTGAAGGACCTTTTATCAGTTCCTTACATAATCACAGTGGGTTTTTTTTAGTCAACACTAAAAGAAAACAGGTCCTAATGGAAACAATTAAAACCCAAAGGTTGCTGCTCTGATTACTGCTGTGTTTGCAGCTTGATCACCAGCACAAACGCAAAGTCTCTCTGTTGCTGCTGTGTTGTGCTCCATGTGCGACATAAAAAAAATAATGAGATCTGACTCACGTCTGGCCCGCTACTTTTGTGCAACAGTCCGTGTTTGGGGGCCACCAACACCTGAGTCTGAATGACCCGTCCTCTCCTCTCCTCTCCCCCCTCCCCCCGCTGCTTGGTGGGAATTCTTGGGAGCAGGTGAGATGGTATCTGGTTGCACAGGATCCGACCCGCGCGGCTCCACCTACTTTGTCTGCAAGAAAGCAAGAGCAGGTCTGTCCTCCGCTGAGAATCGGCCCTTTGTGCTCGTTTTATCTCGGCGCTTTCTCGCAGAAGAGAGGGAGGGAAGGGAAAACTTCCTGTGGAAAACGAAAGGTGTTAAACATCTGCTGTATTGTTTTAAAAGTGAAACTCTGGAAAAGTCTTTCAAAGACATGTTTTGTTGTTGTCTAGGAGTGAGCGTGCCCGTTGGATCAGTGCCCTGGGCCAGAACGACAACGATGAGAGGAGACACGACAGAACCAGTGAGTCGTCTCAAAATAAATAAATTAAACAAAATCCTCCTTTTTGAGCTCATTGCGCCACCTTGTGGCCCTTTAGCGAAACTGACCGTCAATGTTGTGAATTTCAGAACAAACTTCAGGCTGTGTGTTTTTTTTTGTTTTGGTTCTTTTCTTCCAGATGTCACGCAGGTTGAGGTGATAAGAACGTACACGGCGAAGCAGCCAGACGAGCTGTCCCTGCAGGTGGCCGACGTGGTGCTGGTCTCCCAGCATGTGGACGGTACGTCGCTCACATTTCCTACGCAGCTCGAATGTATCTTCGTCCGTCTCAACAGGCCGCAACGTCGTTAAGAAGTCATTTTTTTCTGTCCATTCAATGAGGGCGACACTTATTTTATTAGATAGATCACACACCGATTTAAATATTTCAGGTTTAGCCGAGCCACACTTAGAAACTGTGGATATTACTTAAGACTAATAACAGAAGACAGAAGTACAGAAATGCGCTACGGTCCACACGATCGTGGGAAAAGTTGTTGACAGACCACAAAAGATCGTTGCTAAACTGTAACCACGCTCACAAAATGTTGAGTGGAAGGAAAACAACTGCAGCTGCGAGGGGGTTGTAGACCAAGACGCATTTTGAGGAGCATGAGGAGCTTCGCTGTTTAAGAGTTTGTCCGTGTCCTTTCAACTAATTTATTTTTAATATATATACATATATATTTTTAGCTGTTATCTAAAGTAATCTAAATTGACCTAAATAAATTCTGAAATTGTATCACTATGGTTGCAGACCTCCGTAGGAAACAAATCGAACCCGCTGAATTGAACTACTGGAATAAATGAACTTTTTAATGATCTGGTTACTTGAGCCGCGCCGCCGTTCCTCTGAGTTTTCACCGTCTTGCCTTAATTTCCTTTCATCATGCACTCACACTCCTCTCCCTTTCTGCTGCACATCTCTTTCACATAATGGACCTGATGTGTTTGAAACCCCCCCCATACATCTCGACCCAAAAGCCTGGAAGTTAATTGCCGCTATGGTGACCATAGCAACAGGCTTTCTCACGCGACAACATAAAAAAAAAAAATAAATAAAACAAAGAAGAAGAAAATAATCTGCGCTCCAAAAGCAGAGGCTTGACGCGAGTCTTTCTCTCCCTCCCTCAGGCTGGTACGAAGGCGAGCGGCTGCGCGACGGCGAGGCGGGGTGGTTTCCTGCAGAGTGCGGCGAGGAGATCACGTGCCAGGCCACCATCGAGCGCAACATGCAGAGGATGAACCGGCTGCAGGGGCTGGAGACCAACGTGTGAGCCGCGCCGACCCAGAGACGGTCCGACTGAAGGCTTCGGCTGCGGATTCAACACCTGCCTGAGTCTCGTCCCGTTTAGCGACATAGGAGGAGGACGATAACAAAACCGGATCCCTCGATTTAGTCATTGTCATCGACGGTGGCCCTGACGGTGGGAATATGTCACTGATTAATTCTCCGGCTGGTTGAGGAACAACTTCACCCCCCGCCGCAGCCGAAGCAGCTGCTTCAGCACCCTGCCACGTAACAACTGTTGTTGTTAAATTTATAAATGTCTTTTCCTTTTTTCCCCTGTAAACGGCGTGCTGCGTAATGACTACGGTGGCTCTGTGGGAGGTAAAGCAAACCCAATTAGAGGGAATGTGACAGCAGCCCGGGCGCGCGCCCCGCTAACGAGGCACCGGCCGGCCGATAAAAGGCTTTTCCCCTCCATAACATGTGTCTCTACAAGCTGGAACTGTGTTTCAAGCAACAGCCGAGCAGAAGATAAAACCAATAACACTATGTAGAACTGTAAATACTCATAACTGATTATAAAAAAAATAAACTCATTACAAGAAGGGATCTATTATGGGATCCAGTTGAGGAGAAGGGTCAAGTGTCTGCACGCCCTCATGAATCAGACTCCACGTTTATGTCTCGAGCACCATTATTGTCCAGGGTGTGAGTCGTCATTTATTGTTACCTGGCTAAAGGGGGGTAAATAAAGAAATAATTTAAAAAAATGTCCTGGCCAGCGGATGTCGATAACACGATTCCTCAGGCTCTGGACCCAGCACTGATGTTGACCACAAGCCCTGCCTCCCTCCCTCCACCCCACCAAACAGACACACACCTCTTGGAATTGTGGGCTTTACGTTTGCACTGAGGAAAACAAAACAAAACAACAACAACAAAAAAAACAAAGCAGAAATTGATGCATGAACAACTTTTGCTTCAACAAATTCCTCCCTTTGTAACTATTTTAAAAAAAGACAAAAGAAAAAAAATGATTTGCATGTGTAAATATGTACAGTAAGCCTTGTGTTTTCTTAAAAACAGATTTATATTGGAAGAAAAGAAAAAGCGATTTTAATTAGTCTCTTAATAAAAGTGTAATTGCTTTCCATTTTGTTTTCCAAGTGATCATTTCATTCTGCTTATTGACAGATTGAAGCTTTTGCAGTTTCGCCTTGCCGTCACAGAACCAATGTTAACTAACTTTACACATGAATCTGAATCATGTATTGGAAATTTAATTTATTGCCATGGTTCAACATTTTGAATAAGACGAATACAAAACTTAAAAAAAAAAAAGTCAATTGTGATTGAAGACTTCTGAGATGACCATTGTCCAGCGGCACAGATATTTTGCGCTGGAGGAGTGTAAACATCGTACCTTGTGCGGCGCGTGAAACCACTGGTTGCCTTCGTGGTGCGAGATTTAGTACAGCCACAGCTTGAACCCCACATAACAAACCTATTTCAAATCAACAGCCGTATATTGTCTGATGCAGGTGTTTAATAATGCTCAGTGCTCTACAGGTTGGTCTCTCTAACAAATTGGCAACAACAAAGTGTAGCAATGTCACATTAATGTCTACAGAATTAATAATCCTCTCGAATCCACACATTTATATATATATTCATATTTACATGCTCACTGCTGCTGATAATACATGGTGTCAGATCACTTTAATAACCAAAAACTATTTTACATCATTTTGTCAGCGAATACATTTAAGAAATAAATGTGTTGATTAAGTGTGACGGATCACTCTTAATCAAGTGTTTGCATGAGGTGGGGTCCAGAAATGCTACATAATTATGCATGCAAGGAAAAATAAAAGAAGCAAAAAAACACATTTCAGAAGGACACTTTTTTGTCTGTAGGAAGGCACTCTTCCACCACCTAGTGTCAACTAGGAGAGACTACAGCCTCCACAACAGACTTGCACGGCATCTTGCAGGAAAAAAAACTGAAAGAGCCAAGAGTCCTCGAATTTCTGTCCCGTCTTGTAGACGTCCTCATCCATGAGTGTCCAGTTCAGTGCGAACACCAAGGTGTTTATATTTGTATTTGTGAGCCAAGGAACCTGGCAGTTCAAAATGCAAATACGCAAATATCAGTGGAGAAAAGAGTGGAGGATAAATTGAGGTAAGAAAAGGAGCACACACAACTGGAATAACTGCTGCCTAAAGAGGACAGCAAAGCTCAGGCAAGAGTTTGAGAGAGATTCACAGGATGTGACCTGCAACTGGAGTCTGAGCTTCAAGAGAAAGCACACACAGCGGTACTGAAGAAATGGGCTGCAGCATTTGCATTCGTTGTGTGAACCCAATTCTGGACAGAAATGTTAAAAGCCCAAGCTGTAGAAATGAAAGTGGACAGAAACAGTAAACTTTCAACAGAATTTCAGGACCCATGTTCAGCGATGCAGACGTGAAGAAGACCGTCTGTTAATGTAAGCCAGGATTCCAAGACCACTCCAAAAGCAAGAAGCGGGCTGTAGCAGAGGGTATTCTGGGTAAATAAGCGTGCTGGTTCGTTTCTAGGAGGAGACATAACTTTTACGGATGACAGAATAGAAATCCTACAAATTAAAATCTGATACTACTCAATTTTTGTTTACAGTTTGCATGAAAAGAAGTTGAGCTGATGTGTTCTTCACAGGCTTGCAGAGCGCCACCACAGGGTGAACAAGCTTCTCACAGGGTTTGGATCGTTTGACAGTGCAGTTCGAAAGTGAACGGTACCAGCTGAAAATGGAACAAATGTCGCCATTTTGATCCCTAATCGTACCCAGTGTACCAGACTATTATGTGTGAAAACACCTTTTCTCTACGCATTTAACTGAAAAGGTGGCAGACGCCGCACAGAGTGATTTTAAGTAGCTTCTTTATTGCATAATCAATTTTATGGATGAAAGGTGAAACTTTCCCAAACACAAAAAGTACAAACTAAACAAAAACGGATGCATGCAGAGAGGTTGGTCCTTGGATAATCTTAAAAAGCGAAAGAGACGCACAACTCATTCCGCTGAATGACATTTTCATTTTTTCAGCACTCTAAGCCATTTGGCCTTCAGCATCTAGAGAGCACTAAAGTTTGAACCGAACAGAAGCGTCAAGGAGGCCAGCTGTCTATCATAAATATTCCAACAAACTCATGTCTGAAGGTGCAGTCAGTCATCGCGAAAGCCTCCTCTCTTCATTGCCAGCCAAATGCCCAGACACTTTTAATCATCGTCGTCATCGTCGTCGAAGTAAGTGTGCCTTCCGCTGGGGGCAGACGCCCACGTCCTGTCGTCGTCCTTGCTGCTGCCTGCAGGCCTTTCCTGGGTAGTGATGAGGTCTATGATGGCCGTGATGACAGCGCAGTCTTTGGACTGGCGGTTCTCCCAATCCACAGGAGCCGGGTGACTGATTTTGTCTTGCAACAGCGAGTCCAGCTCTCTCTTCAAACTCTGCAGGACACGAAACAGAGAGCGGTTAAGCATAAACGACACGTCGGGGTAAAATGAGCATCTGACGTCGGCTTGGGTCACCTTAACGAGGTGAGCGATGCGCGCCGGGGACCTGAAGACGATCCAGCGGTCCACCGCGACGGTCTCCTGGCCCTCGTCTTTCTGGATGGTGATGTCTCCCCCGAAGAACAGCAGCGAGAACGGGGACACCTCGGTGCAGTCGTACAGGAAGATCTGAAGGGAGACGGCGACATCGCGTACGCGCAATTATGGCATCATCACAGCAGATTAACACGTTCCGGTGGCGGGGAGCGGCGGCGCTGAGGCCGACAGCTTCACCGCGGTGTGGGCTGAAAGTATCCCATTAGTGAAGAGAGAGGCCATGCCAGGTTGAAATGTGTTTTGGTGTCTCTGGTGTGAGGAGAAATGTCATCCTGCCCCATCTGTGAATCTCCCTAATGTGCTACACTCTTTCTATTCATTTCACATCCTTCGCCGACAGCTGCTTATGTAAAGCAGTTCGCTCTGTGAGACCCGACATGAAGAACTGAAAACTCTGAAAGCTAAGTGTAATGCTCCAATTTTCACCCAAATAATAATATGTATATAAAAAAGGCTTTTAAACATAAGACAACAACTAAAATTGAAATAAAATCTTATTTCAGAAGTATGATAACGGAAGATCGTTTCATATAATCACTGGAAAGTGCTAATCATGTATTGATACTGACTGAAATCAAAATGTCTGCTAATTGTCTATCTACAATTAGCTCATCTTCATTTTACAAAGCTGCTTGTCAAGATTTCACATATTCTCATCAAGGCCATTGATAACAGAACATTCAGTGTCTTAAAAACAAGTTTAGATGTCATGTGGTTTTCTTTACACAAAGTCAAAACCATAGGAAGAAACTCAAGAATATGGTAATTAGGGCTGCAAATAACAATTATTTTAGCAATTGATTAATCTATTGTTTATTCCGACGGTTAATTGGATAAAAAAAGGAAATATTGGCAAACTGCTGAGTTTTCGTTTTACCACTCGAGTCTTTTACACGATATTGGAAACACAATAAAAGATACAAATGATTCAATTCCTTTTTGAAAAAGGAAAATAAACATTTCATTGCTTGAAATCATGTTGAAGCTAAAAAAATAAGATCAAGTCCAATAACATGAGCAGCTCAACATTCAACTGGGCTTAAATGAATTTCTTTATTCTTTCACACAATTTGAACCAGGTGAAGCAAAAACTATGCCACTTAAGAAGTTCTGGGTATAACATATTGAGAGACAAAGATAGTTTTTTTTTTTTATCTTAGATGGAAAAAATATCCATATTTTTGTACAATTTTGGCTAAATTACTGCTCTGAATACGTTGTTCTTCAGCAATCTTCCTTTGCTTGTGTCTGTATTCTCCAATTAATGATTCATTACTAAATCAGTTGAGACTTTTCCAACAATCAATTCATCACGAATATTACTATTATTATTACTCAATAAGTTTGAATATTCTCAAACAAGACAAAAATAAAAAGAGCTAAAATTCCAGTCAGAATAATGCTAGGAAGTCAGGATGGTTTCAGAAAGCAGAAAGTGCTTTCTTTCAAATTTGCTCAAGGACATTTATCCCAGTGTTAGTGGGTGGTTTATGTTCAATTTCAATCTTACTCTTATTTTCCAGTCATGTTGTTTGTTGCCTTATCATTCCATCCAGCAAAAGAAGCAACAAAAAACAAAAGTGATGTTATAGGTCCACGTTGATCCCTGACCTATGCTGTTCGTTGACTCGGTCAGTTCCTGCACTCAATTGAAAAAAAAAAAAAAAAAAGAAAACCCTTCGGTGTTCTTTTAAAACACAAACTTTCTGATGATAAATTAAAAAGACAAAAAGGTCAAAGGAAATCTATTTATATTCCAGCGGAAGAAACAAGCTGAAAATTAAGGGTCAAGTCAGTGGGAAGGAAATAAGCAGTGAGAGAGGCGGCACACCTATAAATCTGATGTAATGGATCACCGGGGACAAGTGCGTCAGAGAAGATCAAGTTTAACGTCATCGCACATTTTCCTCGTCTCCCACCCTCTTTTTTCTGCTTCTCTACTCTTCTGCCTCCTTCTCTCTTAGCGAGCAAATAACCTTGGAAATCTCACGCTGTCTGAATACCTCACTCTGCGAACGCAGAAGGGCGGCATTGAGCGGGAGGGAAAAAACACAACAAAACAAACAAAAAAAAAAGACTTAAATGCGACACTCGAAAGTGTAAATTACAGCCGAGCGCATTTTCTTCGTCGACACAGAGGTGGGACGGCGAGATGACAAAGATTCAGGGTCCAATCAGAGCAATTTCTCCATGAAATGTGGTTTTATTTCCTGTAGAGCAGCGACCCTCGCACAAGACAGATGGATGAGGAAAACAAGAGTCTGAGGAAAGCAGATTTATTTAAAAAAAGAAAGAAAAGAAGAAGACTCTTTTGAGTGTTGCGGTGAGCAATCGGCGTTGACCACTTCGCGTCTCTGACCACCTCTTGCATTGTGCCTGGAAGCTTTGAAGCCCACTAGCCTTTGAGATTGTGTTGAAAGGCGGCGTTTTTAATCAAATATTCATTAAGTGCAAAGCCGGCGTGGCACCTCCAGCAACCTTTAGCCACTGGTACTTCCAGTCCTCTCACAGGTGCTCTTCAGAAGAGGCCGGGCAGAATCCCAAAAGCCGTTTTCACACACGAGCAGAAATGTGCAGGAGAAAACATGAACAATACAGGCTTGTGTTCTTAGCCGTTGTTGTTTTTCACGCCGGGGGTTTCACAGTTGGAGATTTTTCCGCCAGAGATGCGCTCAAACGGCTAGATATTTGGGGGGGGGGGGAAATACAACCGCAGCACAGGAGGTGGGACGTGATAAACCAAATATAGATGAGTCAACGTTCTGCTGCTTCCTGACCTGTAAAAATCAACATGTCGATTAAAGGATACCTGCCTGGAAGCGCAAAGTACGCGCAAAGATCTAAAAACAATAAATACATAAAACCAACACTTCATTCACCAACCTAAAGATCTCACGCTTCAGCAGACATGAGTTATGGAAGAGGGAAGTGATCTAAAAGCGCACCAGCAAGTCCACGAATAAATGGCTAAAAAATAATAATCATAATAATAATAAAAAAAGGAACTGACCCGGTCAAAATCTGGACATAAATCCAATTGAAAAGAAGTGGGATTACCTTAAACAGGCTCTGCAATGAAGCTGACATAAACTGTACTCTGTAAAGTTTCTATATGGTGAAGTAAAAGACTTATTGCCAGTCACTGCAAATCGTCGGTTTTTGCAGGCACAGGTGGCACAACCAGGTGTTAGGTGAAATAGGCAACTTTTTTTTTCTTTTTGATAAAGTGAGAATGGTTTGAATAGGGTCTTTTTGACCTTCAGATATGAAATAACATTTTGGCTCCTTTGGATTTTTTTTTTCTATTTACAGAAGTAATTGGTATAAATAAAAAAATAATAATTTCCCTTTTATAACTAAGTAAAACTCCATTGAGATCTAGATCTCCTTTTCAAGAGGGACCTGAAAATGAGAAATTTGTTTGATGATGTGAAATATTTAAGAGTGACAGATAAAAAAACTAAAAAAAACTGAGAAAAGCCTGTAGGAAAGCAAATACGTTCTCATGACACTGAACAGGCGAGGAGAGGAAAATAATCTCTGGTGCTCCAGAAGATTAGTTAGTGTGCCGTCACAACTGTTACTGTTAAATTTTGCAGCCGATCGAAGATCAGATGTCAGCAAACGCCACTCTTCGCTCGCACACACAGTTTGTTCTACCAAAACAAAATGTCTGAGTACTTACGCTACTGGTTCTCATCTTCAGGTGGTAAATGAGCCATGTGTAGCTGAATTCCCTCTCTTCAGCATTGACCGATTTGGGATGGATACACACCTTCCCGTCGGTCTGGGTGTACACCTTCACCCTGAGATGGACGAGACGTGAACAGCAAGGCTTATATTCACGCTCTAAACTTTCTTAGTGGATTCTACTTCAGAAATGGTGAACATTCAATTATTCGAGGCATTTTTAATCTCAAATTCTTCAATGGTGGTAAAATACGGCTTGCTGTACGGTTCATAAATGTATAGAAGATTTTCAAAAGTTGCCTTAAGCCCAAAGCCAGCAAAACAACAACCACTGGGGCTCCATGTGAGTCACTAAATAATACCTGGCTCAGAATCAAGAGCAAGTTTCAAAATAGAGGATTGAATGTGATCTGTGAATCCTGGTTGACTGCAGTGCAACTCAGTCTAACTCATTCGTAGGCCGAAGCGGGTTGAGACCCCTAGATGTGGGTCGTCAAAAGGTCAGGCAAGCCTTCCTGGATAAAAAAAAAAGCCAAATAGTTTTTCTACAAAGTGCTGTTCAGGGTGAGATTAAGAAATCTCAGTACCGATTGGATGGATGGAGTTATTCTCTCAGAGTAGGGAGTTCGTTGGATGTTTTTAGAGAGCAAAAGTTGTTTCTCTAAGGGCCCAATGAGAATCTCTGCATGAAAACTGTGACAACTTTGCAGTTTGCTGCAGTTGAAACCTAAATTACTTATAAATACGCCACACCAGCCTGCTTTTAATGAAAGGAATAAAAAAAATAAAAACACTTTTGAGTCAGAGGAATATGAGGGTCATATGAAAACCTTGGGTTTGTTCCTACTGAGACTCCCCTCCATAGCCGAAAGTCTGGAGTTCATTTGAGAATTTTTCTGATTTTAATTGAATCCATTTTTCGTCTACAAGTAATATGTTCCCAGGGCCACATAGGCAGCAGCAGCACAATCCCTAGGCATGAAAAATCAGGCTTCGCATTCAAAAGCTGGACTGAGGGACTTTTGATGAAACATCACAAACATTTGCTAATTATTTCTCAGCTCTTTGTGACCAGAAAGTTATATTTATGCTTTCATCTTTCACAATAAAGGCCGTTTCCTGGGGCTGGTATATGAAGTGAAGTTACAGGACAGATTTGCTTCTTGTGACTTTTTCTTTTTGTGTGTGTGAATGTCACTTTGTGTGAAATTTCTAAACCTCAACTTGGCCATTTATATTCCATTTCTCATGCACACCAAAAGGCCAAGCAATCCCTTGTAGGATGACTTCTAAAAATAATTATTTGCTAAAACATCTAAGCCGTATTAGCTGTGTCAATGTGAACAGGGTTGAATACAAATGCAACCCAAATGTAACAAAGTGAAGGCAATGCTTATATAAAACAGCGTCCATATGACGCTGTGTGAAATTGTGCAGATCGACTTTGCGTCAACGCAGTAGGAATGTGCCGAGTTGTTGGCGCCGCCGTGGCTCGTCTTTGACTCGCGTTGTGTCGTCAAACCATCTCTTTTTAACCAAAGTCACGGTCAAATCTACTGCAGGACAGCTCATAATATCTCAAAGAATAGCAAATATTCTTTGACCTTTGAACACGGCTTTACGGCAGAAAAGTGCTTGTAATCGGTTACGTAACGACCACTTCTCTTCAACGGATCTTATTTCTAACAGGAAAACCCTGCCATGCCACGGTAAAGGTGTAAAATCACACTTCAACACACCATTCTCACAGAATTCAAATTTCATATAAAGTCCATCATTCAGAAACATTTTTCTTTTGAAAAGTAGGAAATATTACGTTTTAAACCTCACATTCAAGGCCATGTGTCGGTTTTTGGCTCTCAGTGGTACGAAAACCGGCAAACAAATTTGCTGGAAGAAAAAAAAAAAAAATAAATAAATAAATCACTGAATCCAGTCGCATGCATTTAGCTTGTTATTCTCAGAATGCTTCCTTTCATGTCTGCTAGAGAACAGAAGAACAAAAGAAAGCAGAAAGTCTGATAATCATGTCCAAGTTTAAAGTGACATCCTGTTTCAAATGTGGTGCGTGTGTGTGTGTGTGTGTGTGTGTGTGTGCGTGTGTGTGTGCGCCCGCCAACAAAACAGAACTGACTGCTGCACAGCTGAGAACTAACTGCAGATTGATTTGGTGACAAAGGAAAGCGCCCCTACACAAGCAATTAAATCCTTTTATCTTACAACTGGCCAGCTTCACATGCAAACAAAAAGAACTCGGTGAAAATTCACGGCATCCATAAAGGTGTTGCTAAGCACTAAAACGAAAGCGTGATCCCTTGATTATGACGGCTATTGTTTAAAAACACACTGCTGTGAAAAACTATTTACCCCCTTACAGATTTCTTTGGCTTCTGTTTTGCTGGCGTACGTGCGTGTTTCAGCTCAAACGAGATTCAATCTCAAACACAATCTGCGTGAATTCAAAAAGGTGTCCTCAAATGATGACCTAATCTAAAAATAGGAAATAAAATGAACTATGCCAAGTTCACCCAGTGGGAAAATGTCATTAAAAATGCTAATTAGCCAAACCTGAATTTTAAAAGACACACTCAAGGGCCTGATTACTGCTAGCCCTCACTTTGTTTGGACCTGTTCGACAACACGAAGTAGGCTAAAACATCTAAAAGGCAAAAACACTGTGACCTTTTTTTGGAAGATGTGCACCAAGATACATCTGGTGTACAACACCGAACATCAAATGCGGTGGCGGGAGTTTGATTGATTTGTCTGTTTCGGGATCTGAACAACTTCCGGCAATCGAAGGAGACATAAACGCTGATCGTTAGTGGATCAGAACCCCGAAGGAGAAACGTGAGGCTGTCAGTTGTGATCTTAACGTGAAGCAGGCATGGGCTTTGCAGCAGGTCGAAACCTTTGACGCAAATCTCAACTGAATGACTTCTAAAAAAATTTAAAAAAGACAGAATGAATATTTTTGAGTGGCTTGGTCAAAGTCTGGACTAAATGCTGAAATCTCACATGAGGAGGTTGCATTTAGACAATTGTGCAAAAAGAAGTTTGGAGTAACATTTCTCGAGAATGATGAAAAGGACTCATTGCCAGCTGCTGAAAACTATCAATGGCAATAGTCGTCCCCAAGGGGAACAATTCATTTATATACTTATTTCTACAGAGAAAAATAAACTACGATTGATTATTTGAAAACTGTATCTTGTATTCACTCTTCTGGTTTTACTTGAAAGGCAAAAACAGAAGAGAATATGTAAGGGGTTAAATTCTTTTTTACAGCACTGTGTTGTACATATTGCTTGTAATCTGACTTGATGTGTAATAAAATGTGATATATAAATAAAACTTCCATTCCCAAAGCCATTTATCTTTTGCACACAGGTCAAAGCTGCCACATATGACAGCTGCCTCAGGGCACCTCCGTGATGAGTGCATTGATCTTGAGCTGCAAAAGTGCCTTTGTTTGTTTCTTTTTTGACAATTTTTGAAACACGGTTGCCGCACAGCTGTGACTGTCACAATACCCTTCCAAAACTCCTTCTGGATGAGTGACTGTAGAGCCAGCACCATTTGTCTTTCAGGGAGAGAAAAAGAAAAAACAAAACAAAAACAAAACAAAGGACACAATGGATAATTTACTTCTCAACTTTCTCAGACTGACAGACTCACCCAGGTCTCTTTTTGCTGTAGGAGGGTCGGATCATGGCCACCTTGGGGTACAGCCCAGCAACAATCACTGCCTTGATCAACTTCTCATTATCTTAGAAAATATAAGACGATGATGTTTAATTACACACTGCTCTGTTGAAGGATTCTCTGGTTGAAAACACACACTGCTCGTCAATCGTCGGGGATGTTTGGCTTTCAGGTGAAATCTATGGAAAACTTACAAAAAAGCCAAATAATCCCCAACGTTTTGAGAGCAAAATAGTCTGAAAGACAATTAAAAGAAAACTCCTGTAGTTACCTGAATTGATATTGGACTTAGCGTCTTTGGGATCCCTGCTGCTGACAAAGCCAGCACTCATGAGATGTTCAGCAAACTGACCTTTCATGTTGTGCAGCATCTAAATAATAAAAAGGACACATTACTGGAGTGTAGGTTTACAGTTTATGAGCTTGATGTGCAGAGTATTAAACGTCATTTTGTTTTCTAAATTTTAGAGCGCGGCAACATGATTTCACCCGGGTAATTGGTCAGCAGATCTGCTTAAATAGCCAACCTGCAGTCGGCTGATTAGCAGTCACGCCACATGTAGCTTGGATACAGTAATTTTTAGACAAGGTTGCATCTGTAGGTGTGGTGAGTGGCACTCATTTAGTTCCCGCGCCATCTAGAATTTTTTTAATCTTTTGCAAGTGAGAAAAAAAAAAAACCCAACAGTGCCTCACAGAGCCAGAATCGGCTTTATAGGCTAAGACAGAAAGGAAACCTTTGGTTTCATGAGGTCACAGAATTATATGTAAACTTAAATATAAAAAGAACAATATGTGCATGTATATGTGCCTGCTCATTCAATATTAAATTTTTTATAAAAGCAGGTCATAATATTGGAAAGAAACATGTGGGAGCCAGAGAAAACTCATTGAAAAGATATTAAACTGGAGGATTAATAAGAAGTAAAAACTTTACTGGTTTCAAAACATAACTTTTTTTTTTTCATTTCCTTATACCAGCATCTTATATAAACATCAAAGAAACAAATTATGATATACAAGATATGAACTGCTTTTATGCATCTCCTTTGGCGTTTCCTGTCAGTGCTAAACTAAATGGTTTATAACTTATTAAATTAATTAGTTACAATTTTTATTTAATAAGTCTTTACTTTTGATCACCTCAAAGATCAAACTTTTTACACCTGAACTGATAAATTTGACACTCAGCTTGGACTGTTTGATTCGGTTTGAGATTTATTTCACATCCACAACATACAGAATAGTCAACCCTGAATTTAACATTTTAAAACATATTGCAGATAATATAAAACACATTCTGTGCTTTGTGAAACACTTTATTTGTGAAAAACAAAAAAATAATAATTATTGGTTTTGGCCTGAAAATGTTGCTGAAAATCTTTTTAGCCTAATAAAAAGAGGTTTGTTTGTGAGTTAAATGCATTGCTGCTCTTCTGCAAATTACTTTAAGCTGAATTACATATTTTCCCCCCCATCTGTCAGATGCAAAAACATGAAAAAAGAAACATTTTGCAATCAGCCAGCCTCACCTGGAGTGTGTTGGCAGACAGGAAGTTGTCCCAGCAGTAATCCTTCTCATACCTGGACCCCCGCTGCTTGGCTTCCTCCCATCCCTGGCAGCCGGTGCAGAAGAAATTAAGACATACTGAAGTCATCCAACAGTCACAGCTTAAAGAGACGAAGTCAGGGTCACAGCTGTTGGATTTGTTTACCTTGAAGGCATAAACAATAGTGAGGTGGTCACTCTTTGAGTTTCTGGACAGAGTCCTTCTCCTCATGTCTGCCATCTTCTCTTTCCCCTAAAAGAGACGGGCAGTTCCAATCCAAAAAAACTTCTTAAATATTCACGATAGATTAAAAAAAATAAAATAAAAAAAACAGCCAGAAGGAAGATCGCAGCAATGTGCTGAGGTGTACGTGCTCGCCTCTGCTCTCGATGTTGGCTTTCATGTCTGTGGACGCGGCGCACCTACCAGGGGTATGAAGAAAGGGTCTTTGAAGCTGAGCGAAGCGGCGATGGTGAGAACGGGGTCGAGGCATCCCAACAGAGCGCCGAACAGGATCAGCTTGCCGATGTGCGGCTCCACGGGGAGACGGGCCAGGTGGAAACCCAGCGCAGTCAGATTCTCTGCCTGATCCAGAGCGTTCTGGCGCACCATGTCACAGACCAGAGGGAAATGTTTCATGTCATCTTGTGCTCAGGACAATGCGTTTCTAATGACTCCCATCAAAATCAAGTGGTAGAGGTTTTACTTTACTTTTATGTCTGTGTGCATAAAGCGTTCTAGGAGTGGTACATTGAAAGTACTTCTGAGTTAAATCACAGGAGCTTTGCAATAAGCTCCTGTAAGGTCAATAAGGTCAGCGGTGTTACATCATCAAACTTGAAACTTAGCTGGGTGATTTTAAGAGAAAATGTTTTTCTGTGTTTTTTCGATCTGTATTGCATTCGAGGTAACCAATTGTTAATAGAAGGTGACTGCGGCAGTTTGCTGATTGAGTATTAGACAGAATTTTGCAGTACATCAACAAATCTCAGTTTTCCCCTCAGGCAAGGTTTCCCAACCTTTTTCTTAATATATACATAAAAATGTCTACCTCTCAGAATCGATTCTAGGGCATGGAAGCACACATGATGACTGTGTTGTTTTCTTTTTTCTCTTGATCAAGGTTAGGAAACTGTACTCTTCAAACACCATGAACAATCCAAAACTAGACACAAACATGCCTCATCATGTCAGGACTGGTTACTCTGGATCCCCATAAGGCAGTATTACATTTTAGAGTGTTTAGAAACAGTATTTATTTCTCTTTAACTATTTCATATTTGATCATTTTGCCAAAACAAGAAAACACAACTGTGTGTCAATGGGACTATTTTGTCATACAAAGTATGATAACACAGTGAAGTTCAAAGAAAAGTGATGCATGGTTTCCAATATTTATTTAAATAAAAACTATGGTCCGGTGGCTCCACTATGGCTCTGAATGACTCTAAAAATGATAAAGGACCAACTGATGTTTGCAAACAATTACTGGTCACGATTTTCAGTCAATATTCCTGGGAGGAGCCGTCTGTAAAATGAACTTGGGTGACAAATATTAGGCTAAAATAATATTAACAGTTTTTAAAAATGTTAAAAATTAAGAGGAGATATGGAAATAAGGACGCGGCAACAAAAAATCCTAAAAGAAATTTATGAAATGGGGAGGATGACTTCTCCAATTAACTTACATGTAGACTAATTTATTACAAATTAGAAGAAATATAACAAATGATTTCATAGCATTTTGTCTTTGAAACAATGTATGCGAAGGGTTCAAAATTATTTAATAGTAAACATAAGATGGTTCATTTTTCTCTCCTGCCCTTCCTGTAATATTAATATGACTTGTTTTTTTGTGTCTCATCATTTAAGACACAAAATGATAAGACACAAATTGTCTGTTCTCATCACTTTCTGCGATGTGTAAAATGTTTTTTTTCTTTAATGTTACAAGGATTGTTTGTATCTATATATCAATTATACCTGTATATAATCCTACCAAAACAAAATTTAAGATGACATAAGGCCAACAAACTTTTTTGTAATTAATTTAAGACTGGATTTTAGACATGGGAATTTAAGACGTATTAAAGATGTGCAGACAGCCTGACTAAGATGAAGTTACAGAACTATTTGATCCCTGTTAATCAACCCCAACCGAAACAAACTATATGTAATATTTAGTTTCCTACCAGGTCTGTGAGGCTCTTGATGGCGAGGTTAACTGCCTTCTCGCTCGGCGGGTCCAAGGCCTTCTCCAGAAATCGACTAATGGAGCCGAGCTTCAGAATCTAAAGGGTGCACATCAATTTTCATCCAGTCAGCCGAAGCATTTCATTGCACACTGTACTACAAACCAAGCTGTTGGGTATTGCATGAAATTAGGGCTCGTGTGCGTCTCTCTCTGTCCGGCAAGCTCACTCGAAAGGCAGTTTGGATGCGCGCCACTTGACACACATTTACATGGAGCCGCTTTAATGCGATTCCCTTAGTGCCAGGAAGAGCGAATTTGTGATAAGAGCTGATTCTATGAATGTCCACATTCACTTAAAGTGCATTCATTTCCACATCAAAAAAAAGAAAAAAGCAGACTTTTAAATTCACTAAAGAGTAAAGAAGCAACCACACATTCACTCTGCAATTGACAAAAAGGTGGGTTGTGGGAGAGATGTTGGAGTGTCTGTGCATTAGAGATTCAGCCTGGGGTCTGCATGCTGTCAGAGTGTCTCTCACTCTGAGGTTAGTCTGATGCATTAGTCAGCCTCTCACCCACCAGCTTTGAAAAAAATAACATATTATACACACACACACTCAAATTTATTGAACTGAAGCTGCAGGAAGATGCACGCTTGAAATCCAGCTGCTGGTGAGAACAATCACCAGAACTGAATGAACTATGGCTTTATGTTCCATTAGCGATGCTTTAAACACTTTTGAGTGCGCTACGAGGATTCAAAGAGGCAAACAGGAGAGCTCAGCAGCAAGCAGCCAACAGAGGAAAAAAAAAAAGAAAAAGAGAGCCATGTTCATATATGAGAAAGAGGCAATACGCAGATGTGACTACACTGTATTAAAAAAGAAACTGAAACAGCTGGAACAGGGGCGTGAGTCAGTCTGGGATGTCTTTCCTCAAACCTCATTAACAAAAGAGAACCAAAACCCGCCAGCACTGACTAATCCTTCACGCTTGGTTGGAATACTGATACAACAAATAAGGTAGGATAAATGTCTTTTAGAAAATTGCAAATCAGGGGATTTCTGTACACATTAATACGTTTTTTTTTTTCTGGATAATTCTCGTTGCAGATCTGATTGCTGTAATTTTGGAGAAGTGGCAACGGATAAACTGGCATAGATGTACCCTTTAAACAATTTCAGAAGCTTGATGTTAGCGTGCTTTATTTACATAAAAACTAGCTGTAGTGTGAGTGTTGGGGATCAACACCCAATTGCAGCTGAGCTTTATTTAGCCGACCCAAAACGTGACCTCATAAATAAAAGTAATTAAGATTGTGTCTTTAAAAAAAAAAAATACATGATCCATCACGACTTGAAGATGAGTTGTACACTTCCATGACCGAGAGGTTGCAAGCTGCAAAAGAAACATTGTAAAGATGTAAAAAGTCAAATCTAAGACTTTTTCAGATCTTTTTAATGCCACCTTGAATGAAATTTAAGCCAGAAAATTACAGGATGACTGGGGGAATCCTGCTGTCTTTCATGGGCTGACAACAGAAGTGAGTCAGTGGTAAAAACAAACATTGTCCAGACAAATGGACAATGTTAGAAAAAAGCTAGCTAGCTAGCAATGTTGTATTAGCAACTAGCTAACAACCCCAAGAATGTCCCGCAAGAATTAAACAACTACACACAAGATTAAATCATAAATGTACAATCTATGATTAGTGTATTACATTTTTTTGTATTAATTTAAGATATTTTATGGCCTCAACTTTATATGAATGAATTTAAGACTTTTTAAGGATGTGCAGACACTATGTGCATTTCAAAAGGGAATATTGGACAGAACTGGACAGTGATTCTGTAATGACCCAATTCTTTGTGGACTATGTCTAAAGACAAAGCATATGACAGAAAAGCCATATGCTTTAATTTGTTTAAGCAAGTTCCACAATTTCAGATAAAAGGTTGGTCAAAGATCCAGCCAGAATTATGCCAAAAAATAAAACAAAAGCCATGTGGTCAAACTGAAGGACAACATTAATGAGGTTGCATGTTTACATTTGAGCATGTATGCAGAATTATTACCCTGTGTGGATAAAAGAAGATTTACATTAAATTCAAACGTCTACATTCACGAGAATAGTTGTAAAATTCTAAAAATTAAATATTCACATGCTTGGGGGGAAAAAGCGCATACGAATCACATTGATGCTTGTGCTGCTTGTACATTTCTGAGTGGTACTGAAGCAAACCTTCCCTTAGTTCGGTTCCTAAGCCAAAGCCAATCTCTTTCTCCCCACATACATCACCTTTATCTGCAAGCAGAGCTCCTCCAGCGGTGTCCTCATAATTTCAGGTAATTGATAGGCTTCCAGCAGGCTGGCCCGCAGCCCATTGTACAGATGATAGCACTTTCCTGGTTGCACCCTGGATATATGTAAAAAAAAAAAAAAAAGAACCAGACAGAGAGAGAAGGGAAAAAAAGATTACATGTTATATCAGTCCTGTGACAAGGGCTTAATTTGAGAAATCAGTGGGATGAAACTGCACACAGTAAGCGGCTCCTGCTAATTGGGCCTTGCTGCTCTGCACTTTGATGTCAGAGCAACCAAACAGAACAGACGTCTCAAGTCGCAGAGTTAAAACAACCTGGGAGTGTCTGAACTTTGGCTCTTTGTGTTTGCAGACGGGAAGAAGTAAGATGTGGGCTGTTGGAAGCTCACAGAATGAAAACGGAGGCGCGGCAAATCTCTTGTCCTAGTGCGCGATACGTAGAAGGATTGATGGGAAGTGTGTCTTCGTTCTACATGTTTCACAAGATATCTAAATGTAGGTCAGGGACATGCACAGACAGACACTAGGTGGTGCTAGAGCACCTGACCTATTTCCTCCGGACAAAAAAGTGCCCTTCTGAATAACGTTTTTTTTTTTTTTTTTAAATAAAGTGTATCATAGGTGGCCCAAAGGTAGCATTTGTAATTTTGCCCTATAAGACTTTCCCAACCCCTGACTCAAACCTGCCACTTTTGTAGCATTGCTATACTTTATTCTGTTGTTGAGAATTTGAGAAACAAACCAGAAGCATGTTGAACATTATTAAACATCTTAATAATGTTAAGATGTTATTAATCATAATATGGGTATTTATTTGAAATGGATATGATGCCGAAGATGTGCCTGTGATAAACCTCACACTGCTAAGGCAGCCGACAGTTCCATGTGACGCATAAAGTCTCCATTTTTGCAAGTACCTGCCAGCACGTCCTTTCCTCTGTTTGGCGTTGGCCAAGCTAACCCACTCGGCCGTCATGGTGCTGATGTTGTTGTCGGTGTCGAAATTGGTCTCCTTAATCTTTCCTCCATCTATCACATAAACGACATCATCGATGGTGATGCTGAGAGAACGGGTGGGGAGATAAATCAGGAAAGAAAAGAGAAAAACTGATGAAATAATTTAAAAAAAAAGGTTTTTAGCAAGAAGAGTCCATATTAAGTGAGGTGATGTCAGGTGGAGCAGCTTCCTAAATTGTTCGGTTTATGTGAATGCAGCGCTGTGTGAACACTAAATTAAACTTTCTCATCCATACTATGGAGACAGTATTTGTGATCAATCCAAGAAATATATGCATAGGTCAGGGACATGCACAGATAGACATTACTGGGATAAAAGCTGGCTTTTATCCCAGTAATGACTGGCACTCAGCGCATCATTACTGGCACAAAGGGGGAAAAAAAATGGCCACACTTAGAGAAGTAATGGACTCGAGACTAATCATGGAAACAAACATAAACACCTGGTCTCCGCGATATTGGTTGCAATCACAATCTTTCTGACTCCTGGCGGGGGTCTTTTGAAAACCTGGAGGAGGTTGGAGAAGAAAGATGAAACAAGATGTTTTGGTTCGACTCGAGGATGATCAGAGAACAAAGAGAAAGTTTTACCTGCGTCTGATTAACAGTGGGCATGAGGGAGTGCAGAGGGATGATGACGAACCTTTCTGAAACATAGGATGTAAAAGCAAAGCTGAGATAAAACAGCAGCAAACAGAATAATAGAATAGGTGGATAAATTAAATGTAAATGCATGTCCTTAGCTGTATTTATTACATCTAAGTACAATAACTGTTTGTGTGTTTCACAAACAGTGACATTTAAAAACATGTTGCCCATGAGCTGGAAATTCAAATGGAAAGACAAACAGTTTAATAAACTTAACAATTTTTAAAAATTGAGTTACTCGAATTATCCCTTGAAGCCTTACTCGAATTAGGTAAAATCTAAAGAATTAACCAAAATCAGAAACTTATAAGGCCATGACTTTCTTACCTGGGCATTTTCAAATTGCTCAAAGGATGTAATCTGTAAATCTATTTCATTCTGGAGCTCACCAAAAAGAAATAATGTTGTTGGTGTATAAAAAAAAAAAAAAAAACAAACAAAAAAAAACCCTGTTTATTCTCTTGTGTTAAATGAAGTCAAAACCAATAACCGTTAAATAAAAGATGAGCGTACCTGATCGGAACATTTGCTGCGCCATGAGGAGGTCATTGAGACTGCTAATGTTGTCCCAGCCGGGCAGGAAAACCAAGATTGCTCCCTCCTGCCAGAAACGATTACAGAGCCGTTTTTAAACAAAGGCTATGGTAAAAGCAAACCTGCCAACCATCCATTAAATAGTCATTACAACAGTCATTATGAGCACGATGCCCAGCAGCAAAGAGCTGAAGTGAGCTAACAAGGCCAACTTCCCTTAGGCCTCTCAATGAGAGATGGAACGCCTTGCCAACATCGTTATGTCAGCAGCGTCCTGTTATAACGGGGCAGTCTCTGCTGCACATCAGTTCACGTCTCTCTGACACCGCGAAAGAAAAGCAGACCACCAAAAACAGACAGCAAAAAAATACAGACAAATGAGAGATGTGTCAATGTTAGGAAACCATGAACAGAGTCTGCAAATGACAATGTCGGCCAAGCTAGCGAGAAATCAAACCAATACAATAACGATGCAATATCTGAAATAATTAAATGATCAAAGAACAAACCAATAATTCCTAAATCAGATTTGCAGTTTCCTATGTATGTATAGGAAACCTACTGAAAGGTGAAGAAAAAGCCTTTCCAACACAAGCATAAATTAAGATACAGTTAATGAAGTGGAACGGAACAGGGAATAAGTATCGAACACATGGTGAAAAAGGCCTTATCTGCCTTTTTGTAAGCAAAAATGGCATAAAAACCTTAGGAACCAGCTGATTTAGGAACCAGCTGATTTAGGAACCAGCTGATTTAGGAACCAGCAGCCACTGAACAGCTGCAATAACAGATACCTGTAAGAAATCAAAACCTCCACAGTCTTTCCATATGTAATTAAAACGCTTAGATTGTTGTTTCACACTTAAAATCTATTGCATAAGAAAAAAAAAAAGACACTGGATTGGACCAGAAGCGTCTACCACAGAATAATGTAGCCAGATAAAATATGGCAGTTTGGCTTTTGAACATAAATATGACTTGTGCCTGTGGCTTTAATAAAGTCTTAAGCCACACTTCATGCAGCTTTCCAAACACCACCATGAAAAGCAGATCCATCTAGTTGTGCTGCATTAGGATGTAAACACTCCTCTTTGCACATTTCAGCAAACCCGCCAATCTCATTTGAGGCGAATACTTTGTTGGTCGAATAGGAGAGGAAATCCAACACTAACGAATAAAAACATATGGTCTATTAGAGAAGAGATCCGCTGCCGGAGTCAAAGTAATTTGATTACCTTCGGTTTATGCTCTACCTGCTGACTCTCTCTTACTGACTCTCTCAGTGTCCTTGTTTCACTTTCTCAGCACGCTCTAATAGAAGCAAAATTAAAAAGTCGCTTGATAGCAGCTGTAAAATATGAGACGTTTAACGTCTATGCAGAGACGTTTTTGCACAGTCTGTGAGGATTTGCCCCACCACCTCGTCACTGAGTCAAAAAACATTAACCGTAATAAGGATGAAGACCCCAAGCAGTTCACACGATTTCTATTTGTTTGATCACAATCACCCGGACGCGCAATGAAACATTTTGGAATTGGTAATCATCAACAAGTCACATCAAAACAAAGAGGAAACATGCTAAAGTTAGCCTAGCATGTCAACAAATAGCTTTCTATACAGTCAGATATATCTTTTAAAAAAATAGGAAGGTATTCCTCGATTTCCTTCCCATCCTATCAGAACATTGATGGTGGGTCTGCTTGAAATGTATTATGGATGAACAGATTTGAACATTTTGTTCAGAGCATACTAGCACTGTCTTGATCACAATCCTGAAATCTTTCTCTTCTTCAATTAAACGCACAGCCAAACATGGCCACCCACGCCCTTACTCCTGCTGCAACATGTAAACAACATGAGAATTAACAGTTTTAGGACAGATAGTAATATGCTGAAAAAATATATACAATACTCTTTAAAAGTACTGACCACCTTGGATGTTATATCCATTTTATTGCCACTACATTTAAATCATATTTAGCAAAAAAAAAAAAAAAAAACTTGAGAAAAATTTCACAAAACAACCAAAAATAGTCTGACTTCTAAAATCAGCGCAAAGATTAGCTGTGCAAGAACCTAAAATTAGGCAAAAATGGATCTCAGTGTGAACTCAAGTAGTCAGAAAAACACTCATTCTTCAAAAAGAGAAATTATTCACCAGCTGAACGGAGTAAAACTAAAATACCAACACAAAAAAAGTCATTTTATAGCATTAACTACCTCTGCCTTTTAATTACACATAATTATTATTCCCAAAGGCTTGCACTCACATGAGCGAGTGTGTGATGTAGAAACTGTGTATATACAGTAGCTACAATCTGACACATGAGGCACGCAAGGAAGCGGATTAGTTCAAAAGAAAAAAAAGCAAGGAACAGTTCAGCGGTGTTAGCCTACTATTTGGCAACACGCACAGTGATCCTCCACTGATCCTCCCACAGAGCTTCACCTAGCAGGCAGTCATTATTGCTTGCATGTCAACCCCCTTAACGTCTAATCATAGACCCCTTCAATATAATTAACCAATCATCACAGGCGAAACCCGACAGACAGGCCATATTCTTGGTGCGGAGTGGCGTCATGGCGAATCAGTGCCTTTCCCTCTGAGCCGTTTGACAATGCCACGGCAAATCAACTGGTCGAGTGGCTGAGTGGCGGCGTGACTGATGGAGATACGGCTACATATAGGAAAGGGTAATTATTCTGTCTGTCCGAGTTAGTCACTCCTTGTTCCGAGGCGCTCTTTTTCTTCTCAAGTCTTTCGCACCTTTTGGGCAAAGCCGGCGGCCGCAAACAGACATAAGTAATACGACTAGTTCCACGTTGATCGGAGAGGAATACGTTGGAAAAAGCAATCGAGTTCCTTTTGTTTCATTTCCTGAATTGCTGTGAAATGTTATCCTCAACATTATTGTTTCAATTCTGGCAATAAATGGTATCTCAATACCTTCTTTCATGTCCTACAAACTCTTAAATAAGCTTTAGTTGAAAAACTTCTTTCAAACTTTCTTTTAAAAAATATATATAGATTTTTCCACTCATTTTTTGAAATTATATGCTTGGATACATACCCGTGTTACAATAAGTTTTGTAATGCGATAAATTGTCCTAGAAATTATTGCAATAAAAGACATTATTTTCGTCTTGAGGTCAGTTTTAGTGATATGATGATAAAGGCATAATAATGCATGTTCAAGACGTGTTGAATCTCCAAAATAAAACACAACATAAATAAATCAATCTTATATTGATTTATCATGTGATTGATTGCTTATTGATTGACAGGCTTATGGATACAGCTCTCTACGAATCATCAGCTTCTTTAGTAATTACGTTTTAGTTTAGCTTGCTCCGATTGATAGTGACAAATATCAAGTCAGCATTCTTCCATAATAACACATGCATTCATAATTCTGAATAAAAAACCTTTGATGTTCTCATATAAAATTTCAATAATTTTTGATTAGATGCGAGCGACAATTTTCAAAATTAGATACAAGCGCTAGTTGAGAAACAACACTAAAAGGAGCTTCACTGCTAGAATTACAAAAATACTCATACATTCAGTGATAATCTAACTGTTAATAATATGTAAAAGCAGCAGTGAAAACATGCTGAGATGAAAGGATGAAACCTGATGAGAACTGGAAGGAGGAAGGAAAAAAAGGGGGGGAGGGAACTGAACGTGTAGTGGGAGAGCATCTGCTCCATCACTCATTAGTACAGATCTGTAGCCAGGATCTGTGTCATTTTCTCTGATCTAAAGTCACTCTGTGTTTGGAAGCTTGCCCCGCTCCCTCCATCTGCTCTCCTCTGCCTCTCTCCTTTTCCAGCTCAAGCAGCCGTGTCACCTGTTAAGGTTTTTTTTTTTGTTAGTATGTTTTTTTTAACTTAACGTGAATCCGTTTTCAACGTGTTGCACCGCGGACTGCCAGTGTTGAACGTGTCAGGAGAACAACGCAAACCTAAAGCATCCCCCGGCCATGTTCGAGTGGCAGACGCCTGTTCTGCTCTGATATCAGAGGCTGCCTGCAAAGTAATCTTCCTCAGTGCGGATTTACTTGAGAAAAGGAAATCCTATTCCTGACTGCGCTGAAACCGGAAGACGCGATTACTCTCACCCCCTCGTTGAGCACAATGTGCCGGATCAGCGCCAGGATCAGCTCCAGATCAATCTTCTCATCGGTGTCTAACATCTCCACCGCCTCGATTGTGCCGTCAGAGTATCTGGAAAACATTGACAAACATTGAACACGTCGCCACCTCTCATCCGGCAGGATGAAACACAGCCCTTCTGTTCTCTAGTTGCATCTAAGCCAGAAGGGTTTAGTTTTTTTTTTTCTTCTCCCCCATTTACCGGTGTTTCTTATCCATGTGTTTTCTGATGGATTTAAATTACAGATTTGCACCGGAAACAACCGGCGGTGTGAACTGCACATACAGAAATATATTAACCAGCCCTGTTGATAGCAAATTGCGTTCACTGCTAGTTTCTATTTTTATATGTTTTGTTAATAATTTTACTTCTAAATAGGTTTGATACTTGTTTTTACCACAGGCAACACACAAATCTCCCTGCAGCGCTCGGACAAGCCGATCCCGCCCAGCGCTGAGTGCTTTGAAATCGAATTTCAGGCCGGCAATTCAGATCATGCTCTGACCATACAGGATTAATATCTTGAGACTTCTGGGCAGCAGTGGAGCAAGCCAAACTGCATGAGGAGAGGAATTGTGATTTTACATCTGAAAACAGTAGCTATAGCATTCAGGATTTGTACATTTTTGAAAAATTCAATGCATTTTTAAGATACGTTTTTGCACTTTTCCAGCGCCACACTTTTGGAGATAACGACAATACAAATGAACTACAAATAGACAGTTTTAATTCTGTGTATCATTGTTACTAAGAACATCTTGTGATGGTATTCTACATTCTACAAAAGGAACAAGGAAAACCAGAAATATACTGTTTCTTGTATACTACACCCTATTAACTTGACTGATGTGAGAACAAAACACTACAAAAATATCTTCCAATTTCAATAACATTGTTTGACATACAAAATATAAGCCAACCTTTAATTTCAATTACCGTACACAGATCAATAGTCATTGAGCCAATAGGAAGAATAAATATAGATTATATTGAAACAATCTAAACAAATCGTGTTAAGGTAAGAAACCTTCCTGCTCAGATCAAATGAAGACAATACAGAGAAAGCTACAAAAATAAATTCTTTACGTTTTTTAGCATTTTGCAAATAGAAATAATTTCGATAATACCAACTAACCTAAAACCAGAAAGGTTTTGATTTCACTTCAGACAATGTGAAAAAATTTCCTTTTTATTTGGGTGCATTAAAATTTCTGGTTTCAACTGTAAATTATGTTTTCCGAAATCTAGGCTTTTTTATTACACGTTAGATTGTTCTATGCAGTTTGCATATGAAGCATTTTCAAGGAGTTCATACAGAAATCAAGCATTTCCCAAACTTTGAAGACAAATGCTTTAAAAATGCTGAAATTCAAGCATTTCTAAGGACTTCAAGCACCTGCACAAATCCCAACTACACAGCAAAACTAAACTGAAACAACAACGAAGCAAAAGAAATGCTCTTCACAGTGAGATTTCCTGTACTAGTAATTTGAATCCATTGTAAACCCTGATGACTCTGATGGGCTGATAACGTTTTCTGGCTCTGACCTATTGACCTCTAGGTCACCCAGAGGTCACCCATTGGGGATGGTCACCAGCCTGAACCCTAAACAGGACTCAGCAGGTTAGGAAAATGAACAGATGGACGGTGCGTTGATGCTCAACACTGCCTGCCAATATTCAGCACAAAGACGAGACGCCTCCTCAGACTTTTAGATGTAATCAGACTGATTTAACCTCATGCTTCCCTTCCAGTTACAATTGAATGCCTTTGTTCACAAAGTAAAAGATACAACCATTTAACTTATATCTGAAAAAAAGACTACTGTGCAATAGAGGCTGATCTTACAATTGTATCTTTAATCCAAACTAATCAAAATCCAGACAATAAAACAAGGGCATAATAGAGCGACTGCTGAAACCAGGCTGGTGCAGAAAATGAGCTACATCGCCAAGTACCAAAGCCTGAGGCAAGGCGAGGCTGTTTTTTTAAATAAACTTTCAAAGGGTAAACTGTCGCACAAGCAATTATGCCGACAGTCTCCTCACTGCAGACCGAGCAATTATAATGAAGGTAAAGGAACGGTACTGCCCTCCAACTGTCGGAAAACTATTTGTTCATAAATGGTTCCAACATGGCCGCTTTATCATACTCAAAGAAACACACAGTTAAAACCGGAAGTTACATACACAGAGCAAAAAGACAACTTTTTTTTCTCACTGTGTAAAGTTAAAAGAGAGAATTGCTCTCCTATTTTAGAATTACCAAAATTATTTCTATTTGCTAAATGTGACGGTAATGAGAGAAATGGCATATCAGAGATAATCATTATTTCATTAAATAAATAAAAGCTGTGCTGTCCGAGTCTTCCTTTCAGACGAAAAAAAAAAAAAGACGATAGCCGTACTGGGTAACAAAGCAGCTACGGTTTGAAACGCCTGGTTTCAACTGCATCCAAACAACATAACTCACCTGCCCTGCAGCGTTCGTGCGTAACATGGCCAGCTCTCCTTATATTCTTCCTCCTTCTCCTCCTTCTCCGATCTGGATTGGTGGCCCTGCCAAAAGCGTCTCTTCCACGCAGGCCGACGATCCTGATTCTGCGGACGATATCTGGCAGAGAGACAAAAACATCCAGTTAGTGCACACAAAGTGGGCGTTTAAGACTGGATGTATTTGTACCTTTCCGTTTGGTGCAGGTGGAACAGAATTGCAAGCTGTGATGCTGAACTAAACACTGAAGAGCCTAAATACGTCTAAGGAAGTGTTTGACTGCTGAGGAAGTCAAAGCTACTATGTTGAGCCTGTCATCTGAAGTTCCACGCTTTAAATGGGGGGGTAGTATCCATTCTCTAGCTACAGAGTGGCATTTTGTAGCATAAACAAGTAATTATGTTTATGCTACAATATATAGGAGCAAGACTGAGCGAAAGCTCCTAGTGGATGGACATGTAATACAAACAAAACAAAGGAGTAGCAGTTATTGGTGAAAAATATTTTTGCCTGCTGAAATTAAACTGGGCAATATAAAGCAATATCACTGAGCAGAAATTCATTAAAAACAGTTTAAGGTTTATCAAATCTTCATTTTCAATGTTGCTTAGCACTTTAGAAAGACAAAATATGTACTCAAGACCTGGACTGGGTTGTTCTGAACTGGCTGCTTTTCTATTGCCAATATGATAATTCGAAAATAAAACTGTTTAATAGAAACAGGCCAATTAAAAAAAAAAAAATCAAAAAACTTGTTTTTCAATACGTTGAAAAACAACGTATTGGAGGTGAAATGGGGGGTTTTTCAGCTGTGTCAAAATTGGTTTATTTTGCACAACTTCAAAGGAAACTCTTCTCGCATCAAGAATCACACTATCGACAACCAGACGAAGATGACTGGAAGTAGGTGTAGGATCAAAGTGCGGCATGTTTTTGATGGTTTATCAGATGGCCAAACTCATTCACGTGTGATTTTTAATTGCGTTTCAATTTCCATAGATGTGAAATTGTGTGTGTGGGTTTTTTTCCCCCCAACATTAGCAGAATATTGAGACATTTGTAATGGAAAAGCAGCTAGTGACTACAGATTCTTTAAAACACAATTTGTGAGAATTTGTTCTGCAAACATTTTTAAAAATATTACCAGAATGTTGCAATAATTCAAGCGTTTAGTAATAGTACCTGGTCATCTCAATGACGTCTTCAAGCAGGAACTCTTCCACTGGGAACGCTAAGCCAGGGATGTGGATCATTGGACATTTGTCTTAAAAATAAAAAAAATGGGAAAAGAGGTGAAGATAATTGTTTCTGTGTGATACAACGTTGCGTAAATTTGAGGGATCCTACCAAAATATTTAGAGAACTTTTCTGCGTTGAGGGTGGCACTCATCAGGATGACCTTGAGGTCATCTCGGAGGTCGAGTAATTCCTTCACGATGATGAGCAAAACGTCGGACTGAAGGTTTCTTTCGTGGATCTCATCCAGCACAAGGTGACTTACACTGGATAACAGCCTAAGAAAACATGGGAGATTAGATTAGGAGTTTGACTTTAGGTCAAGGGACGAACTAATCTGTAAGGATTATTGTCAAGGTTTGTTCATATTTCCCACAGTGAAATTCAAAACATTTTTCAAGCATTTTCAAGGACCGTTCCAGGACCGTTCTTTGGAGATAAAAACAATGCGAATTAACTAAAAAGAGACGGTTTCAATTCACCTATTGTATGATATAATTTATGGCTCTTATTCATAATATCCTGCTACAGTATTTTACATTCTACAACAAGTACAAGGTGAACTAAAATATGAGAAATCTATGTTTTGACATATAAAATATGAGCCAAATTTTATTTAAATTTCACAGATCAATCTCATTGAGATGTTAGGAGTAATAAATATATTGAAACAAAAGAAATTGTGTTAATGTCAATAATTGTCCTGCTCACATTAAACGCTTGAACACAACATGCAAAGAAAGCTACAAAAAAAAAAATAATAATGAAAAAATCTCTAAAAATTCTTCTCTGCAACCTTTTCTGGCAATTAGTAAATAGAAATAATTTTGATAATTATATCTCATCTAAAACAACAAATATTTGGTCTGATTTAACTTCTGACAGAGAGAAAAATATATATATATGTTTGTCGTTTTATTGGTCGTGTCAAAATAATCTGGTTTCAACTGTAAAGAAGCGTAATCAGGCGTTAAATTATTATAAATCTGATCAGTTTGAATATCAAAAAAACCTTGACATCACCTAAATTAAATTCAAGGACTTCAAGTATCTGTACGAATGGGATTTGCTACAGTTTTAAGTTTTTTTTTTTTTTTTTTGCATATACTATTCTAGCAGATACAAGAGAAATTCTTTGGTCTCTCAATTAAAATCTTCAAGTTCAACATCAAGGAAAAGTTGGCGTTTCGCAAAGATCCTCTTGTTAATCTGAGCAACTCAGAATGTAACGAAGAGCACGGAGGGATGAGTAAACATAGACCTCAGTGTGTGTACATGCGTCTTTATTTCTCTGTCAGTATGGAGACTCACGCTAATGACTTTGGCAGGCGGAGACGAACAAATCAGTACAGATAAAAATAATATAAAAAAAAAAAGACAAAGAAAGGATGTGCGGCAAGCAGAAGCTTGGAGGTGACGACGATGAGAAAGTGAAAGATGGGATCAGACTTACGGATCAGAGCGGAGCCACTGAAGAATAATTCCTGTTGTACAGTACAGTATTGAACCTTGTCTCCGTGGTAACCGGCTGTGAAATGTGAGGAGGAAGAGATGAGAAAGAAGAAAGGCTTTACATTTTACACAAATTAGGTCTGGTACAGAGAGGAAGACGAAGCAGACAACTTCCTCCAGTAAAATGCGAGTTCTTTCACATAAAGTTGAGTTTGTTATTCCATGAAATGTCATAAAGTCTGTCCCTGCTGACCACGACAAGTGGCAAAGGGGTTCTGTACACTTATTTATTCAAAATTGCCAGAACAAACATTATACGTAATCATTATAATACATATACAGCCACTTGTACCCTAACGCTCCATACAGGGTTTTCCTTGTCTGCAGTCAAAAAGAGTGAAAAATATAGAGGAATATTTCCTCCAGCATAGGTAAACACAATTCACACAGACTGGGTTTTTAAATAAATGTTTGAACGGGGAACTTTTTTTTCTTTAAATATGTCACTTTCACCTGCTTTTTATTTTTGGCTCCATATGATCCACTTCCCAGACACTGTTTGGGCGGTCTGCAGCTTCAGCCACGAAACCGTTGAATTTTTTTAGAGACACGATTTGACATTACTGATTTTATCCTTTTGTTTATCATTGTTGAAGAGGAAAAAACTTTTTTTCTTTCCTGATTTTAATATTTTTAAACCCTCATATGACAATGTTGAGAAAAAAGAAAGAGGTTTAAATAGTTTTACTAGATTAATAATTTACATCATAAAATGAGCTCTAAAGGGAACCTGGACTGGGATGAGGTAAGGCAATGCTAATTATTCACACTGGTTTGATTTCATAATTTCACCAGGGTATTCCTCATTGTTTAAAAGTTTATCCTTTGAACGGCACAACGAGTTCTGATTCATTTTGCCTCTTGAAACATAAACGCCAACTGCGTCTCCTCGGCAGCTGAACTTCACTGACAGCTTTGTTGTATAATTAATTCAAGTGTGATATTTAAAAACAACAAGGAAAAAAAGGATTTCTGACAATTATCTAGGAAAATGTAACTCTGGAGCATTAACCTTGAGTGCAGGAAAGAATTGCATATTTACAGGGTCAGAGCAAAACGAAAACAACCAAGGCAGTGAGCCAAAAAGACGTGAAAGTTTTTCAAAAAAAAAAAAAAATACATCACCAGACAGATAAAAAAATAAAAAATATGCTACAGAAACAAGGGTACGATGAGATTTCTCCCCATTCAGACACACTATTTAGCATTTAGAAGGTCCTAATAGGCAGCATAAACGCTGCAGGGAAAATAAAAGCGGCTGGGCTTCTAACAGCCTCGACACTTAGAGCTTTGCGCGGTGCCACAACTTCATTTCTACAGCACAGAGCTGCCTTGCAACAGGTCTGCTGTGAGGTCATCTCGTTGTTCACACTGCAAACAATGAGCCGCCTCGTCCTCCAAACACAAGGCTACTTTTCTTGGTTGGTAACTCAACCTTAACAGAGGCTGAGACAATCCAGTCGCCTTTTATTTTCTAGTGAGCCAAACCTTGTCTGTGGATGTTAATGTCGCTCCATGCTACCTCATTAGCTACCCCATTAGTTACATTGTTTGCTTTTTTTCAGCGGTATGTAAAAGCAGTGAGGAATGCAACAATATTCCTTTAGTAAGACAGAAAGAAAAAGTGCTGTCAGCTGCGATACGTCAATGAAAGACTTGTCACTTGTGTATTATTCATGGCATTCTGGTTCATACAGCTCCTTTCTAAAATATTTGGGCTTTTTCACATTCTGTCACACCGCATGGACAAAACTTTCGAACAGATTGCAATGTTATGACAGACAAGCACAGTGTGGGGAAATCTAATCAGCGAAAAGGAAAATGACCGTTTTTAAAATTCTCAACGTACTTCTGCAGAGTTTCTGCAGGTTTTAGCAAGTCAAATTTAAGATTTTTTAAGACTTCTCCAATGCCACCATGAATTAAATGTAAAATTTAACAAAATAAATGAAAAGAGTAAATATAGGGAATAGTTGGAAGAAGATGCTCAAGAAAATGAACCACATCCGGCCAAATGGTGACAAACTTGCTTTTACGCATGACAGATGCTAAAAAGCTAACTGGCTTGTACAAAGGCAAGTACAAGTAGCTAGTTAGCGTTAGCATCAACCACCTCAAGTCACAGAATGCAGTGAAGATGTCTGCGAGCGGATCAAGCTTTGGCCTGACAGAAAACTACATATATCATGATTAACGAGATGAAATAGTCCTACCAGGCCAAAATTTAAGGCCGATGATCAACAAATTTAAGGCCAACATGTTTTTAAAATAAATTTTAAGACATTTTATGGCCTTAATTTTAGATCCATGAATTTAAGACTTTTCAAGGATAGTCAAAAACTATGTAGAACTGGCTTTAACTGTGTTTACAAATGTAAACTCTTTACTTATCCATTTTTGCAAGCCAGCATAAGCTCCATCAGATTAGACAGGGGGCATCGTCTGTGAAAAGTCACTTCCGTGTACAACGTACGAATAAGTCTGGCTGCAAGTTTTCTTTGACTTCACAATACACTGAAATTTAACATTGTTGTAATACACCTGTAAGCAATTTGTACATCTCCAAGAAATTCCCAGATGACAATAAATCTCAGATGATTATAAAACACCATATATTTAGTCTCCCCATTCTATGCAATTTATTTGGTGACACTTGTTTGACGCAATAGGTGGTCAAGCCAATAACAACAGAAGAAGAAGAATAAATGTAGGCCAAGAAGAGACCACAATAAAACCATTCTTTTGAGAGAAAATATGATGTTTTTTTCCTCAGCAGACGGAACGACAGCAAACACACACCCAAATACTGAGCTAAGAACCAACAGAAGGACATCAACACTGTTGTAGTATATTTGTTTAATCACAAGTCATATCGTTATTGCGATATTATCGTTATTGCCATCTCATAAGCTTTTACCTCCAATATTGTTAGAAATAAATCTAAATTAAGTGTGTTTTAACAGCCCTTAAAACAATAAACATTCAGTTTGCAGCACTGTCTACTTTTGCAAACAGCCTTCAATGCACAAGCGTGCACAGAAAGGTTTTGGTTCTGGCAACAGAACTGGATTACCCAATGAGGGAATAAAAGGAGAAAGGCTATAAAGTTTTCATGTCAGCGTTTCCTGTTTTTTTCTAAGTAAACCTGGTACATCATTAGAGGTTAAACAAAGCGGTATCACACTGTTCACCGCTGGGCTCTGTGAGACCACAACAGTGAGCAGTCAAAGCGCAGCAGCAGCCTCACAAATCTATCTCTCAAGAACGTCTTTTTAAGCTTACCCAGCTCGGTGGTGGTACAGATTTAAGGTTGTTTTATAACAAAAACAGATGAGTCACATCTATATAGTTTGGTGCGAAAAAAAACAACAAAAAAAAAACATCATTTTTTTTTAAAAAGCTCAAGTTTCTGTATCCTGACTTTGAGTCAGGATACAGAAACTGAGATTTATCAATTTGTTTTTTGCTCCAATTAGCATTCACCTGCAATCCTCTGTTGAAAATCCTCAGCAAGCAATAAAGCCTCAGATGAAAGGTTTGACGTCTTTGTTGGCTGGTAAGCCAAACCTTAGTAGAAGCGGTCTTCAGTTTTAAAATCAATTTTTATTTTTACTATTATAAGTATTGTTCTCTGGCTTTTGTTGTTTTGTTTTTCACCTAGATGAGCACAGCTCTGTTCGGATCAGATCAGATGCCGGACTTAAAAATGTTCAACGAGATACACTAAAGACATTATTAATAACTCCTAGAGCAGAATTAAGTTAATGTCTGTCTGCACTTTGATGCAATGTCCAATTATCTTTAAGGCATTTGACTCTAATTGGCATATTGGTGACCGAAAGAAACAGAATCAATTAAAAAACTTTATTGAACAAAGTTGAGAGAGATTGTTTTTCTCGCTTAAATATGTCTCATTTATTCAGATCAGGCATCTGTATTTCCCACTACATTTAAATTTTGGTGTATTTTCAAAAACCACCAGATGATGTAGCTCAGATTGAACATCTGGTTCCAAGAACCTGACTATTAATCTTAGATTTATCTGTAATTTAGCCAAAATGTTTATGCTGCAGATTAAAATAATTATCCGTTTATGAAATCATGATTGGCTTTGCTCTAATAAATGAAGCTGGCATGACGTTTAAGTCCGGAACAGGCTAAGAATCACATAATCAAAGGACATAAAAACTGTATTACTGACAGTTAAATATATAGCGAGCTTTTTAAAGTCAAATCCATTACCTCCATTTCATGCATCAGCAGTCATTAGGAAGAAAAATCTTACCTCTGCAGGCGTATTTGGTAACCACAGGAATTTCCATTTCCTACACTTTCTGCTCTCTCTGCAGCTACACGCTCTGCTACCTGAGAGGAAAAACACACACACAATTCCACTGAAGAAAAGAGCCTGCATCAAAAAAAAAAAAAGAACTGTTTTATCAGGACAAATCCGGTCCACAGGAAAGGAAAGTTTTAGACGGTACCAACATCGGTATTGGACAAAATGTGTCATTTTATGAAGGTCATTTTATTTATATAGCAGTTTCAGCAACAAGGCAATACAAAGTCATGCATGAAAATTAGCAAACTGAATTTTGCATCACGACATTCTTCAGTAGTAGACAAACCAGAACATTTGAGCCAATATAAGCAGGGCTGCAGAAAACGTACGGAGATGGCGCTGATGCGGCGGGGCTGCGTGCAGACCACGCGGCACGTCGAGCCCCGGCCTCTGCTGATGTGGTCGTCCAGGATGAACTGGGTGACCTGAGTGGTCTTTCCGCACCCCGTCTCCCCGCTAACCACCAAGACGCGGTTAGAGTTGATGAGCTGCACCAGATCCTACGGATCAAATCAGAGAAGGAACGCAATTAAGAGGTTGTGAAAAAAAAGAACAAAGAATTCAAAAAATACTGTAGGTATGTTTTTCAATGTAAGATCTTGTAATGAGTTGGAAAGTTATCGCTTAAAGGGACGATAAAGCAGCAATACTTGCCTCTTTCTTTCCGTATGATGGTAGTTTTTCCCTGAATTTCTAGATGAAAAAATGAAGAGGTTTTTATTTCTTTAGTTGTACAATTTTAAAATCATCATCAAATTTAATTTAAACATTAACAATTCACACTTGAAATATTCGGCTTTCAACTTCACTTTCAACTCCAGCCTCATCACTTCTTGCAGCAAAATTCAGCAGTACCTTTTTGTCAACAACACATGCCCTATTTTGTTAACTTTGCACTTGAAAATTAAACTTTTAAACCTGAAATTTTAACATCTCACTTAAACAATGTTGGTGAAACTCTTTACCAAGTTATCTGTAGAAAATGTCTCTACACTAATATATTGTACTTTGAAAAAAATGAATTTATTGACCTTGGAACAGCAGCAGAAAGTTCTGCTGTGTACAGCAAATTAAAACTTCTTATTTGTACACTTACCAACATTTCTTTGTAATTTCTATCCATTTTTTTGCTTTGCAAATCTCTTTTCAAGTCCTCGTCCACTGATGCGTCTCTGACTACTTCCTGAAATAAGAACTCCAGATCCTTGTCTTTGCTCTGTGGTTTTTCCTTCTCCACGTCATCCTCATCATCTTCGTCCCAGTTGTCTGGAGGTTCATCTTTAGCTGCTGCAGAGGAGTCACTGAAAACAAGAAAAAAAACAATAAATAACACACACATTAGGAACATGGTTAATGACAAGGATTATAGTTTAGTTATTCCTTTCATATGATTGGCAAAAAATGACTTTCAAAGGTACATTTTAATTTAAATATGACAAGAGAAAGTCTGAATGATGAGTCAAATGCTTTTAAATTCTGAATGAATTTACTTTTATTGCTCACAAACAAAATCAAATTTTTTTAATATCAAATAAAATGTATGATTTTAATTGATTTTTTCCTTAACAAAACTTTCAAATCGGTTTTATCAAAATATGTTTACTTTATCACCTCGTACAAATATGAGATATCTACACTTTGAGAACAATAAAAAACAAAACAAAACAAAAAAGGGTCTTAAATATGTTGATGATGAGCAGAAATGCAATTACTGGTTGCTATTAATATAACATTTGTATTATATGCAGTCATTTTGGGTTAAAGAGGAGTATTGCTCCACAAGAACCAGAAAATACTGAATTGTTTGAGTTCGAAACTTTTTACACAGTTACCGTTGAGATGTGCGGCTTGTTTTCTTCTGTTTCGAAGAACCGTCCTCCTCTTCCTCCAGTTTCTGCTTCTCTTCCTCAGGCATGTCCCCATCAAAGTAGCTGATTTCACAACATGGTAATAAGACACAACATCAGCTACAAACAGTCAAATAATCTAACTTCATACATCCTTTTACATTGTAAGCTTGGCAGAAGTCACAAGCAGCTCTCACCAGTGGCCGCCGCCGTCGCTGCCGGCTGCTGTCCGCCAGGCGTCAGACACTGAGGACTGTGCGCCCCTGCTGTCTCTTGGGTCACTCTGGACCGAGTTGAGGAGTTTGGTGATGTGTTCCTCTCTGGCTTCGTCCATGTGGACCATGGCCCGCTGCACACATATGAAGAAAGAGAAAATATTTATATATATACATATGATTGCTATTCCACTTTGTGTCGCAAAAAGGTTCTTAACAGCACCACTCGGGCATAGCATTCTAGCTCGGAACAAATAAATTACACCATAGTTGTGTTTCACCGACCTACTAAGCAAATCCGGTCCAAAGGAAAGGAAAGTTTTAGACGGTACCAACTTCGGTATTGGACAAAATGTGTCATTTTATGAAGGTCATTTTAGCACAGTTTCAGCAACAAGGCAATACAAAGTGCTTTGCAGGATTTAAAAGGAAATACAAACAAAATAAACCGAAAGACGAAAAATAATCTAATGTTGATCTAAGGTATGTAAGCTCGGTGCTGGATACGTATCTTCTAGTCTAACTACATCTCTGGGTTGGAAGAATAAGAGTCTAAAATGTAGTTGATAAGGTAGTTTTTCTGGATTCTGAGTTTGTTCTAATCCCTGTTCTGGGGTGCTAAGTAAGTGTAGGTAAGTATATAGTCCGATAAATAAAACTGGGCCGATATTCACGACCGATATTTATTTGTATCTTGTTGCCATTTGTTTCTGAAAGGAGGGGGGGAGGAGTTGGTCACTTGGTATTTGTTTGGCCATGTGACAATGATGCAGCAAAGGATTGTGGGGAGTTTAACTGAGACATAAAAGCAGAGATGGGCAATAGTGTGGTCGTTTTTATCAAGGTGTTGAAAGGGAAGTGAAATCAGGCCTGTCATCAAAACAAATGTAATAAATAAGGCAGCAAGTAAGAATTTGGTCCTAAAAGCTAATGAAGAAGTGACGAGGGTTTCAAACCCTCTGGTGTCCAACGTCAATACATCACAAGAAAACGTCATAAAGCTGCGCCAAAAAAAAAAAAAAAAAAACATCCCAGAGCTCAATACGAAAAAACAATTGGAAAACAGATTACATCAATGATGCTCCACCGGCTCTTATGAATGAAAGGCAACTGTAAACAAATGCACAAGTCATTGTAGTCAAAAGCAAAGAGCGAGGCTCGTACCGATCTGCGGTCCGCTTGTTTCCTCCTCACTGCTCCATACCGCGCGTACCACAAACCAATCTCCCGGCCCTTCAGGTGCGGAGGAGGACGGTCCTTCTGACCTCCTCCGGCTCCTCGGTCCTGGTCGAAGTCGGAACCGTGTCCTCTGAAACCTCTCCCACCGCCGCCACCGCCTCCTCCTCCTCGGTCCAATCTCTCTCTGCTCCCATCCCTGAACCCTCTACCTCCATGTCTGCTTCTCCTTCCCCCTCCGCCGCCGTGGCCATAACTCATACCGCCGTGAGCAAGAAAACGCACTAAATGTACAACCTGTCACAGCAGCACATGTAGGAGCAGCTTGGATTAACTAGCACCGGCTGAACTGGTGCGTTTCAAGCTGTGAAAGGAAAAACAAAAAGAACCTGCCGCTGTCTTTTGTCAGTCCACTGACTGGTAGAGGCACCAGAACAAATTCACTCGATAAATAAACAGGACGCAGCAAACAAAATGCAAAAGCAGCCAGCTATCGCCGTTTGCTGTCCGGCGAGTCGCATGGGTATGACGTAGGCGGTGCGCAGCCGCAGGATGTTGACGTAGCCTCTGAAATGTTGCGAGGGGGGTGAAAATAATATGACACGCAAAATATTAAGAGCTCAAAGTGAGAGGCATCCCAGCAGGCAAACACATCAGTTTTTAGTTGTTGTTTCTTTTGTTTGATTTTTTAATTTTTATTTTTTTTACCAACAATAAGGGGAAAAATTACAAAGGTGGAACAGAGTGTGAGACTGTCTGGATCTTTGTCCCACGAAGGTCATTTCTCCAGGGAAAACAATAACTGGTCCAGACAAATATACCACTGGGACACTTATGACGATTAAACTAGACATGACATGACATTGACATCACATTAATAAAGTCCTAAGACTCTAGGCAGAAATAAAATTTGCCACATTCCACCCTCTTGCAAATGCACTCAGTTTTATATGAACCAAGGCAATCGTTACAGTCTAAGACACCATAAGACAACACTGAAAGGTTTCACAGAGAATTTTAGAAAACATGAAGCTAAAATTTCATGTTTTTTTTTCTTTCTTTACCTTAATGCTTACGAACAGCCACCATATGAGCCTGTCTAATTTACAAAGCCAAGGTTAGCTGTTCTGGAAATGTTTTTTTGCACCTGCAGGGGAGCCTTGCTCTCTCTCCAGCGTTTCTGACTCTTTGTCCTTGGCGCATAAACGATGTGTGGACTGTGTCTTACCGAGCTTTTACTCTGGCCTCTTCATGAGTGTGCTATTCTGTAAATTCTCAATTTATGTGTTGCACTAACAAAATCAAAATGAGTGATTTTCATCTTAATACGTTGGATGCATTTTCATTCCTTAGCAAGTGACAGAAGTTTTCTAAAGTACAGTCAACTGAAAAAGATGAGCCAATACATGTTGACTTTGGTTAAAGTTTCGTTAAAACTCAAAGTAAGTCCACTGAACTTTTAGGGGCAGCGCAGACTCTCATCGGGTCGTTATGAATCCACCACAGGGCAACACAGAGACACACAAGAGAAACAGCCATTCACCCAAACACTCAAACATGAGGACAGTGCAGAGAGAGCAGCTCACCAAACAGTCATGTTGTTGAAACGAGCCAGGGTGCATCAGAATCATGAAAAACTCAAATTAAATCAAGATCCTTTTACTTTTGCAATTGTAATGCAAGAAGATGTACGAAGATGCTAAGCCTCATATTCTCCCCCATTAAGAAGGTATTGAAAACCTGTAATGAAAATTTCTTCCTCTAATGTACTCATGTCACTGAAACGGTTCACTTCATTTTTTTTTCTTTCACACGAATGGAAATGGGAACCAAATACACTTGTCTGGTGTTTTTCTAATCTTACAGAGCACTTAAGGCACTTTACACTCTACATATTCAGGCATTTGCACTCAAGTTTACGATCTTATTTGCAGATCGCTGGAGGACTTCTAGTTGCCAGGAAATGTCTGAGCTGAGTTCAAAATGACGACCTGAGAATTAGTTTTCCCTACCAATGTGTGGCACTATCACATTTCAACCGTCTGGTAGGTTGAAAAAAAAAGATGTATTGCATAAACAAATAAACAGAAGTTGTTTAAAAATCCAATAATTATTTTGTCGTCTTTGTTTTTGTTTTTTTTTATGTCAAACGACTTACAAGATGCCATTTCATCTTCGGAGGAGCTGCAGAGGTCAGCGGCTCAGGTTGGCAACATGAAAAAGTTGAATGAAAAAACTTTTATAAGACAAATATTTATGAAATGAAAATGCAAAAGAACAACCTTTTAAAAAAAGAGAAGATTCAGATTTATTCAGTTAAAAGAGGCAGGAATGTTTTTTTTTTACCCTACCATAAAAACAAGGTGACATTTAAAACACTCCTGCAGCATGAGCACTTTGTCTTATTATTAATCAAATCAGTAGTACTAATAGTACAAAAAAATAAATAAATAAATTTGTATATCCAGTCACTTGTACTGATCTATTTCAGGTATTTTTAAAGGAGCCTTTGAGTCCTCCAAATTAAATTTAACCCCTCAATATGCTCACCACTTATTTTATTGTTTTGACTGCTTAATGCACAATTCTTTGAAACTTCTTGAAAGAAAAAAGCTCATCCATCACCAAAAAACAGTCAGATCAAGAGTAAAGCGGCTTTAAGGGGAGAGCAGTGAAACTATAATTTTCAAACATGAGTTTGTGAAGACGCTGCCTGTCTCCTTAAAGATCACCCTTTCGGAGAAAGTAACTGGAACTGTGGAGCTATTAGCACTGATTAATATTGCGGGAACACCAGAGCCAACAAGCTGATTTAAAAATAGAGCTGTCGAAACGTCTGAGAGAGATGATGAAGGCTTAGTGTCCCTTAAGTGGTACATAGACACAGCTTCTAAAGTGTCCCAGCAGAGTTGGGGCATCATAATTTGGAAAGTGGCTTCCATTAACTTGACAAATGGCATCTCAGAACAATAATTTTGCCATTGAAAAAAGGACTAAAATGCTCCTCATGGTGACTGGATTGAACCTCAATGACTGGACTGGACGGTGGGCTACTTACAGAGGTTAGTGTTAAAAAAAAAGGTTTAAAATAATGCTTTTGTCAACCTTTCAGATATTATTTATTCATATAAAAAATCCAATGTGCTTTTACTTTTAAAATCGTTGGGTCCGATTCCGCCAGCAGACAGTGAAGCTCGATCTGTGGTTTCTGTGTCACCGGCTGATGCGTGTCACCTTTGAATGTACTTTAAATGTCACCGTTTCCAGATGCTGCAGTCTCGTCTGTGCATGTTTTCACACAAACACAGCTATAGAAACCCCAGTGCTCTTCAAATGTAATGAGTCCAAAATGACTTTCCGATCCTGCTGTGAAATAGGCAATACTAGGGATGTTTTCTTGATCTCGGAGGAGATCCCTGCCACCGTGTTTCACCTTTCTTTCATAATGAGTTTTGCGATTGTGAAGCGGTAGCTTGGCACTTCTGGTTGCCTTTTGTTCTTCAAAAGTTGGTCTTCTTAAATATGCTGAAAAAAAATGCAATTGCAAAAGCATGAAACAAGCAGATTTTATACAATTCATCCCAGGTGAAAAAAATAATCTAGATAAGTGCATTTTAAATAGGCTGCATTTAAAAAAAAAGCACTCATTTTAAATATGTTATCAACTGGATGAACTTTTTAAGAAAATATTAAAAACTGGCAATAAATCCATTTTTAAAAACATGCTTCTGGAGTTGTTTATTATAGCTGTATATTATATACATATTTATCTGGGCTACAGTTAAAATGTGGCACATCAAAACATTTTAATGACATGGAATCCAAAATGTAGCATTTCTTGATTTATAGCATCTTTTACTCAAATACAACTCGAGCATTTAGAATGACATTATGTGCTGTTATGAATTGCAATCAACTCACAACAAAACAGGGTGCAATTAAATATTAACATCTGGTTTATAGTGCAGTTGTCTCCACAGAATCATCTAAAGGGACGAAGAGCAGCACAGTGAAAAGGTCCGTCCGTCTCACAGCAGCATTAGAAGATGACCTCCTGCCTGGACCTCAAAGATTACAGCATGGTGAAAGAAATTCAACTTGACTGGTTTTGGTCTCTCACCTTTCAGACTCCAGGTCTGCTGTGCTGCAACTCCATTACTTTCTACTGACACACTTGAAATGTTTACCTCAGACGGTGTTTTGTGCCGAACCTTCACAAAGCCACTGTATTAAGCTTGAACTGAATGTGAGGTCCGACATCAACATTAATAGCTCAGGTCCTGACTTATAAATCCGGATTTCTCTTGTTTAGTGGATGAGATGGCCTGAATAAATCATGTCTGGAAACAATTCAGTTATGGGGAGACATAATTATCGGGTAACTGATTTATTTCAGGCAGTAATTTGTTATGGTTTATTATGATCAATGGGGTTTAGTTAAATAAACAATTTTCTGTTTCACTAATTATTTCGGTAAAATGAAAGGAAAATATTTCCTCCCTATATTTTTCTGTTTCTTATCTCGGCTCATCAAACAAATGTTATCACCAAAGACAAGCCAATACAGCACAAAAAGTATTTTTCTAATTATGATCCTACTAAAGCTGCAGAAGGTAACTTTTACATATAAACAAATCCTCTTTTTTTAAATTTATTTAATCTGTTACAATTACAACATTATGACATTGAGACAAATAATTGAGCTCCTCCCTGTGGTCATACAGCCATCTGCAGAAATACACCGCTCTGTCAGAAACAGCCAATCAGAGCCAGGGGGAGGGTCCTAGTGTGGCTAAAGCGAATTACGATGACGATAGATAAGAAGTTTCCCTGGCAAGTGGGAAGTTGTTTCTCTGCCTTTAGAACAGCTGCAGCACACACACGAGGGTGACTGACAGCGCTAAAACCCTCTTCCTGGCTCTGATTGGTTGTTTTTGTGGCATATTTCTGCAGAGGGCACACAGGAAGAAGGCAGAGGACCTCAGTTTTTCCACAGATTATCTGACATAGTGAATGACATAGTGAACGTTTTAAGAAAAAAAAAAAAGAAGAAACAACCAATCACATATTTTTATAAACGTTAAATACTGCAGCTTCAATTCAGGGGAGAAAAACGGTCCAAACCAACCTCGCCCCATGTGAAAACATAACACACCTTTTTCTTAAATCATGAATTCATTGCAATCCGATTTTGGGTTTATTTCTTCCTGCCACAACCCAGTTTGATCACCGTCTGACATGTCAAATGAAGATATCGGTGAAAAGACATTAAGGCTCATAAAGCAATGCATTTTGCCCATATCTAAAAAACAAAGAAGAATAGATGAAAAGCAAACTTGGTGACATCTGTCAGCCTTGAGAGGGTTACAACACCATTCCTAAGAACAGGGGTCTTTATGCACGAATGCTGAAAACATGGAACAGTGGGTAACGTTCCCAGAAATGATGCCAAAAACCTGTGAGAAAGTATTCTGTGGACAGATAAGATAAGAGTGGCATCTCCAAA